GGCGCCTCACCACCGCTTCCTCATTACGTTTTTCTGTGCGGTTCGAGTGCACATGGAAATTAATTCACAGTATAAAAGTTTTTATATTAACACAATTTTTTAAAGCAAGAATGTCATCATCTGAGGAATCTTACGATCGACTTAGAAAGCGCAAAAGGTCGCATAGTACCGACTCAAGAGATGAGTATTTGTTAAAACAAATCCGAAGTTTGGAGAATGAGGTTAGGAAGCGCTATAGACGTCGTAGGCGACGAGATTCATCCTCGTACTCATCATCGAGAAGTTATAGGAGGAATTATAATCGTCGAAGATCGCCAAGCAAATATAAAAGTCAAAATCGTCATTTAGATCGTAGAAGTTCACAGGAGAGTCGACGCTCAGGTAGGGCATATCGTCGTCGAGTAAGGAGTCGTTCACAAAACAGTTGTGAGGTTATGAGAGGCTGGGACAAAGATGCTCAACCTCAGGCGGGAGATAGTGACAAAGACGCCCATCTCTCAGCGGCTCGAACTGCTGATAAGACAGCACTAGCAGACAAAGATACTCTAGTGTTAGTCAACCCTCAGATACAAGAAGGGAACAAAAACTCTAATAATGAGTGTATTCAAACAGCTCAAGCTAACCAATCAGCAGTTGAGGCCAAAGATTTGCCTATGAATGAAGAAATGTTGAAGCTTTTGGGTGAAATACCGACAGGTAATGACCCTTTAAGGCCAGATATTCACCCGGCTATCGAAAAACGATGGACAGCCATTTTAAAAGAGGGGTTAAATAAGGATACCCGACTGGAATTACTTGAAAAATATCCAACACCAAAAAATTGTTTGCTGTTGAGACCACCAATTCTTAATCCAGAGATAAAATCAGCTATCAAGGCGACGACAACTATTAAAAAAGATACTTACCAAGTACTAGCACAAGCTAAGTTGAATTCAGCGTTAGGTGTAATAGGGCTAGCCATAACGAAGCTTCTCCAGTCACGTGAACCTGGAAAAAAGTCTGTAGCCTACATAGACATGTCACAACTCATCACATGGCTTAGTGACGCGGGTAGAATTCTTCTCAGCGGTTTGAATGCTGTAGCAAAAAGAATTGCTAATTCTAGCAAAATTGATACACTGTTATTTGGTAATAATTTTTCGGAAGCCTTAAAAGCAGCTGAGACAATCGAGAAGTCATCAAAAGTAATCTCAAAATCGAAGCAGTACTCACGTCTGTCGCAGTCTTCATATACATCAACAGATAAATTAGCAAGTCATTATCCTACAAAGAAGCCTAGTACATCTTTAAACTCGAATGGCCAGTCGAGGAAGCAGTATGCTCCGCGACAGGAGGCCTAGAAGCTTCGGAGCAATCGTCATCGCTAGAGGTAAATAATCTGGCAGGGCGTTTACAATATTTTTTACCTTCATGAAAAAGGTTAACATCAAATAAGACTATTTTAGATATAATTCAGGGTTATGCTATTCCTTTCACTTACAAGGTACGACAACTACCATCGCCTATGGAGCCAGTTTTGTCAAAAAGTGACCATAAAGCAATGAAATTACTTCTGTTAGATTTTTTCAGAAGGAAAGTAATATCCATTTCTCACACTGGGAGAGGTCAATTTTTATCTAGTTATTTTTTTGTTGATAAACTAAATGGCGAAAAAAGATTTATACTTAATCTGAAAAAACTCAATAATTTCATAGTATCTCTACACTTCAAATTGGAAGACCTAAAGACGGTAAGGCGGCTGGTGTTTCAGGGATGTTTCATGACCACATTAGACCTTAAAGATTCATATTTTCTCGTCTCTGTTAAAAAATCACATAGAAAATACTTACGCTTTTCCTTCGAGGGTGTCGTATATCAATTCAATTGCTTACCATTTGGTTTATGCACTGCTCCTTATGTCTTTACGAAACTCCTAAAACCAGTAGTTCAATCCCTGAGAGAAAGGGGTATAATATTGGTTGTATATATTGACGACCTTTTAATAATTGGTAGGACTTATCAAGAATGTTTAGAAAATGTCAAAGTGGTAAGAGAGCTATTAGAATCTCTTGGATTCATACTAAACTTGGATAAATGTCAGTTAACTCCATCAAGGACTATCAAGTTTCTTGAGGTTATCATCAATAGTGTTGAGTGTGGTACATTTATATTGGTGTGGTTGGCTACATTGAGAGGCTGGGTCTGCGTGAGTGTACGTTTTGCAAGTCAGTTGGTTGACTCTGTGTGCCCAGACAAAAAGTAATATTAACTAGATGTAATTGTTCCTTATTTAAATAAAACTGATAAATATGAAATAAGACTATTTAATCTTTCAAATAGTAATAACTTAACTTACAATATTCGGATGCCTCCTTATCAGGATGGGGGGTTTTTTGTGATGGCCAAAGGGCTAACGGCTGGTGGAGTTCCATAGATCAGCGTCTACATATAAATCAATTGGAATTAAAAACTGTTTTTTTGGGTCTAAAATGCTTTGCAAGGGACTTAGAGCATTGTGACATCCTGTTACATATCGACAATACAACTGCAATTGCTTGCATCAACAAGATGGGAAGTATTCAACATCCAGATCTTCATGAAGAGAGTAAAATGATTTGGCAGTGGTGTGAAGATAGAAACATTCGCATTTTTGCATCCTACATTAGATCTAAAGATAACACGGAAGCTGATAGAGAATCACGTAGACTACCGAGTGAAACAGAGTGGGAGCTCGCTAACTGGGCCTTTAGGGAAATAAAATCAATCTTAGGGCCATTAAAAGTTGATTTATTTGCATCACACTTGAATAAAAAATGTCAGAAGTTTGTATCATGTTTGGATAATGCAGAAGGTGTAGTTGTCGTACCTTTATGGAAACGCCAAGCTTGGTTCCCTTTGTTTAAAAAATTACTAATAAGTAAATTATTAAAATTTGAGCCTAACAATAATTTATTAATTTCTAACCTTAGAAAAGTGCATCCGCTGGCGCATCAACTTACCCTGGTGGCCGGACGATTGTCAGCGAAGTATATACACAAAGAGAAGTTCCAAATGATGCTATAGATATAGTCATTTCTTCGATATCTACAAAAACCTTTGAACAATACAACTCGGTTTGGAAAAACTGGTGGGCTTATTGTATGCAACATGATGTTCCAGTCTACGCAGCTGAAGGTAGTCAAGTTCTAGGTTTCTTCACTCACTCCTTCAATATGACGAGATCCTTTTCTACTCTCAATACACACAGGGCAGCTCTATCCTTCACTTCAAAAATAGATATCACGGGGGACGAACATATAAAGAAGTTTTTCAAGGGAGCCAGCAATTTAAAACCACAAACTCCAAAATATTCTAATGTATGGGATCTACAAGTTGTGTTGGATTATTTATCACGATTTTATCCAAATAATAAGTTAAGTCTGGAAGAGATCACCCACAAGATAGTTATGTTGCTAGCCTTATGTACAGCACAAAGAGTACAGACATTATCCAAGATAAGGTTGAACAATATCAAGGTCACAAATGACAGAATTCTCATTAACATCTCAGATCGTTTAAAAACCTCTCGAAGAAATAAGGAACAACCTACGTTGATTATCCCATACTGTCCGGAGCTCCCAAGAATGTGTGCTGCATCAGTAGTACAGGAGTATATAGAAAAGACTCGGAGGATTCGGCCTCAGGACTGTGAGACGCTAATTCTGAAAACTAAAAGTCCGCATTTGGCTGCAACATCGCAAACAATTAGCCGCTGGATAAAAAATACATTGCATGCAAGTGGGATAGATACATCTGTTTTCTTAGCACATAGTACAAGGCACGCTTCTACCTCAGCAGCATTCAGGAAGGGTACTAACGAAGAAGTAATTCGCAAGGCAGCAGGATGGACAGAAAGGTCCAATATGTTCGCAAAAGTCTATAACAGACCTCTTATCTTAGAAGAAAATCTAGCGAACACTATCATCTCAAATCCTGAATAATGAATATTTAAACGTTTATTTTCTCTATATATCTATAAAAATTGTGCAACTATGTTAAAATACTCAGTTTTTCTGTACCGTTAATAATCAATAAAGAAAATAAGCTATTGGGAAATCCTAGTGTTATAATGTAGTAGCTAGCAAAAAATTGATTAATAATTAACAACTATGTAAGTTAATACACACGAACCTATTAGTGTATTTGCAACGTCCTTTAAACATCTACAAATTTGATCTAGAGGACGAGACGGTGTAATATAATTAAACGATCGATCGAACTTACCTGTAAGTGATGATCGATCCTAATTATATGAACCGTTTCGTCCGAATAGATCAAATCCCAACCCATGTCATATCATTTCCCTCTCCTCTGAGGGTTACAAATACAGTTCAAAAAACGTGATGAGGAAGCGGTGGTGAGGCGCCGGTAAGCAGGAGAATTGAGTAGAGGGCGTAAGCGGGAGTTTTTCTTCAAATTTTGGTTAATAAGCTGTGGATTTTGTACTCAAATCGAACGGACAAAACGATACTACAAATTTGATCTAGAGGACGAGACGGTTCATATAATTAGGATCGATCATCACTTACAGGTAAGTTCGATCGATCGTTTAATTAGGCCTATGAATGGATAACGAATGAGTCATGACATCATTTAATAATTAATGCTAAGCTAATTGTGACCTAATTATAGCCCCTTTTGTTATTTTAATACAACAAGTCAAAGAATAACTTCATCTATACGGCCATCTTTAACTTCCCACCAGGAAGTTATTTGGTTATTACATGTTGGTTTACATCGAATCAAATATATCTATTTCTTATAATTGATGTAGATTACAGTTTTGTAAAAATATTACAGACTTGTTCTAATTATCGTTACGTTATCGAATAATTCTATGCCCACTTCCTCTGTTATTATTTAATTATTACAAAAAAAATGAATATTTCGATAACAGCCTTATTGAGTAATTAACTAATTTCAACATTGTTATAAAGAGCAATTAAAGTTATATCTATAAATATAGATACTCATTACTATGCTGATAGTTTTGCCATCATTGACTGTTACAAACCTTGTGAAAAATGTTCCAGTTTTTATTATTTTCGTTATTAATATTTTCCAATGGAGTTCATGTGTATTCATTTTCAATTCCAGTCGTTTCAGATATCCAAGAAATGATTACAATGGCCAATGATATCCAGAGTGTTTGGGCTGGAAATATTCCATTTAAAAATCTTGTTACCGAAGTAGAGAATCCAGCAACATTAGCTTTAGAGAAGCTTGATTCTCTATCAGAGCAAGTATCTAACTTGGCCCTGGAACTCAGTGATAAAATGGATAACATTGTAGAAGAACTGGTAACAAAGATTCCCTTGGCCCAAGAACTTTCAGCAGCTATGAGAGACTTCCACAATGTAATCACTCGTGTTGATTTGCTTTATGATGATTTTCAAGATTTTGTTGGTGAAGATGGATTCAACTCTCTCACACTAAATTCCCTTATTAAATCTGTAACATCTAGAGATGCTGGTGACATACCAGATGTTGTGAATCAAATGCATGCGCTTTTTGTACCTGGAAGATCTGCATCGATTCGAGAAAGTATCCTAACTCTCATGGTTAAAGCAAAATCTGTAAGTCAGTTCTACTTGAAAAATTTTGTGTCTGATAGTAAAATTATTATTTTTATTTATCTATTTTTTCATATTTAGACATCAGATGATGTATGTAATCCAGCTTTCTCATTTCAAGAACGTTTGTATGAGATTTTTAACATCGTTTCTCTAACTGAAATCAGAGCTTTCATGATGACACTGTTTGCTTATGATTACCTTGCTTCTACAACGAATGGTGAATTTGGTAAAAGTTTCTTGACGTCATGCTGCTATTAATTTTTTAAATTTATTTATAGAGTCGTATGCTAAAGAAGTAAAAAAAGCTCAGGCGAAATTTGTATTGAGAATGGAAGAATACATATTAACTGTGAGGAATAAAATGACAACTGTGTCACGGGTAATATTTCCGTGTGATCCACCAGCTTGGATTCGAGGTATCAGAAAATATAATATTCAGCAACTAATTTTAATAATTCTAATTCATTAACTCATTATCAGGTGAAACATTCGTTGAATTGGAAGGCTTAATGACGGGCTACTTGATGAATGAAGCACAAGCATATTCTGATGGAACATGTAGTAATTCTTGCAGTGATATAGATGCTACGCAGACTTATGGATGTTTCACATGGGCGGTTAGTACTGGCGGTGTTGGTGTTTACAGTACTAGTCAGAAATTCAAGTATTGTCCAAGAAGAGAATGTCTAGGAAGAGCTTATTATTGTGGTTCGATAGGTGATAGTGTTGAAGTTTGTGAATATGTAAGTGTTTTTTTTATTCATACTTATAGATATGATTTAATGTTATACGAAAAATCATCATATTACAGTAATTAATCATTAAAAAGTATAAACTAAATGTATTTACAGCCAGGAAACTCACTAAGACGTTACAAATATATATCAGGTAAAAGTGGTAGTCCTACATATGGCTCAAAAGATGGAGGTTGTAGTGGAGAAGGACTTAATAAAACTGAATTAGCCACTATAACCCCTGGTTTTTATAAATGCGATACTTGTTTCTGTAGATGTGTAGAAAAATCTAAAGAATCAACAGCTACGCGAGCTGTCTCTTTCCTGTCTCAGATCTCTGACGTTACAAAGAATAAGTAAGCTCTTTAAGTGATTTGGTTAATCATCATTATTATTATCACTTAGTTCTATTTTTGAGTCGTAAAGATGGAAGTTGACGACAAAGTTTCTGTCAATTACAAAAAATAGTTGATAATAAAAAAATTGACTATCAAGTGTTCTTACTGGCTCATTGAAACATTTTTTCAGGGTCGTCACAAACTTTAGGTTTACTGAAAAAAATAAAATGATATACGTTCAAGTTGAAGAATCGGAACTTTTACCTCAACTTCGTGTTAATCATAATGAATCTTCTTGGGTTCCATTGGAAGATTACACTTACAGAAAAGGCAATTTTTATCGTGTTAGTGACAATAAACCACTCAGAGAAAATGTAGAGTTTGCATTTATTGATGACCAACGGAGAACATTCAATTTAGATGATATAATATTACCAGCAAATCATGTTTTAACTGGAGTCCGATTGAATAATGTCAATCCTAAGGATGAATCCAGTCCAATACAACTAGAAGTACAAGCAACACCTGTCGATGACTTCAATGAAGGTAAAATTGGCAAAAAAGAATCCATTTGGATAACACCAAAAAGTCAGCCAACTCCTCACAAACGTTATACAGAGAAAAGGTAAGATGAAGGAACATATGCTTACGAATTGGTGTTTTAATACAAAATAAGTTCATTTAATAATCAAATGTTTAGTCATTAGAATCATAGATGAAATATTTTTAGAACTGAAGTGGACTATGGTAAAAAAGTAGATCCAAGAAAGTCAAAGAAGAATGGTGTGTTTTCGAAAATAAATGAGTTCATCATGGTTGGTCCTTCGAATGTGAATGATGACGCAGGACAAACTACTATACCTCTTTTTGATGCACAACCTGTCGCAGTCAACCGAACTCAGGCATTAGGTGGTGCCGGATTGTTCGTTAGAGGTGCTAAAGATTATGGAGGATTTCTAGCTTTCCGAGCTTATACCGCTAATCTTGGAGATTATATGAATGCAAATATGAAGAAAAAGCAATTAAAGAACTTCAAAAAATTGTATCGTGAAGTATTGGCCTTTGATCCCCCAACTATAAAATAAAACCATCATATCAAATGATAAATCATATGCTAGAGAATGTACTGGTAATGTTTTAAAATAAAGAGTACTATAAAACAGGCAATTGTATCTTATATGTTCCTTTTCAGATCACTATGTAGTATTCCTTCCCAATACTTTTCCAAGCCATGATTTTCGAAGTAAATTAAAAACTTTGGGTAGACTTCTGACTTGGTGTCACCCCTGAATAGAATGAAACTTTGGGTATTTGTTGATCTTGATGGGACGTGAAAAACCCTCAAGGGATTTTTGGTGCAAATACCCCATATCATTTTTATGGGGGTTTAAAGATTTTACCATTTTAACCATTTATTCATAGAGATCACACCTAAAAGGGGTAAAATTTTGATAATATATTAACCTTGACAACATAAAAATAATCCCCCAAGGAAGTTTAGTTATGGGCCACCATAACGTGTTTATAGGGGTCTTATAGTTCAATTGATAATTTTTTAAAATTGCAAGTGATGGATGGAAAAGGCGCAAGATGAAGGGTGGGGTTCTTGGGCAGAGTAAAAAACGTAGAATGATCTTTACCAACGTTGTAGTACCCATCGCCGTGGTAAGTCTCTAAGGGCAGAGCCAGTACTGCTCTTATTATATATTTTTATTATGATCAGCTAAAAACATCTAGTCGATCGAGTGTACACTATAATAAAAAAAAAAATTTTTTTAAACATCAATAATAAATTCAGAAATCCACTTTTAGATTAGATACTAATACCTAATCTAGAGATTAAGTGCGAGTCTCTAGTCTCTACTACTGGCAGTACTGACCGTAAGCAATCCAAGTTTGCTATCCAGGGTGGTCTCGATGAAAACCCCTATAAAAATGTTATGGTGATTCAACATATCTTTAACATTTCACTCTTTTTTGGGGTGATCACCAGTAAAAAATTTAATCGTAGAGTTACAAAACGCTATAGAACTGTGTCTTAATATAAAAACAAAGTGTAGTACTCTTATACATCAAGATATTTTAGACTGTTAGAATTCAATCCTCTGATTTAGTTTTCTTAAAAAAGAATGGAAAAATTAACTCGTTAATCTATTGAAATTCTAATCATTAGAAGAAGCTTAACGATTGCTGAAGAACAACAAAAGGTGACTAAAATTTTCTGCTAAAAACTGTGTTGCCCCGACCGCGACATTGATACCTTTGGATAAATCAGTTAAGGATTACACTTCCGTGGTGAACAAGATCTTATTCAGTCACATTTACCGTCTTTTAGATGAAGCTGAGTAAAAAGCTACCGGATTGAAATATGTATAGGTACAGAGTAATGCTTTTTTCACTAAATTTAAGAATAATGATGCTCATCTAATCCGCAGTGCTTCGACATTTACATCAAAATAATATGGGATTAATATTAATCTCATCAGAAATGCAGCAAGTTAGATAAAATCATCTCAGAAATTGCTACATTCTATGATCGAGCAATAATTTATAATAATGATCAATTAGTTGAAGCTGTCTTGAAGACAAATTTGTTGTATGTAGAAATTATCATGTCCTGACTAAGGGTAATAATTTAACAAAGGAAGTTGGTTTCAGTTTTCTGCGAGTCCTAATTCTTTAAACATTTATATAGTAATGTCAAAGAAGTGTTACGGATCATGATTAAATGGTTGATAAATGAATTCATCAATAAGTTGAATTCTATTTTAATTGTTAATTAAGAGAAATATATAGTTGCAACCATAGGCCGCTGTTATCGGGACAAACAAGATAGCAAATATTTAACTCATTTTTAATCTATAAGTAAGCTTTATAATCATTCAATTATTCATAGTACTTTTTGTTGCTTACCTGTATAGAATTAATAACTCGTTAATAACATTTAAAAAAAAAATGTTCAAAAGTTTTATGTAATACTTAACGCTCTGTAATAATAGTAATTAGATTATCATTAGTCGTGTATTTGACGTGAATAGTCGAAATTATTTCATTATAAAAATAGTAATTTCAAAGATAAGCAAATAGTATATAAATGTGACCCTAGAATATATCAGCAATTCCTAATAGTTATTGTCCACAATTTTTTACTCTCATTACATAAGCAAAATTATCAAAGATCGTCCGAAAAAAATCTGACTGTCGTCTTATGAAATTTGCACAAAGTGAGCACATTAGCGTGTTGCGAAGATAAAACAACACAAAAAGTTCTTTTGCAAAAACTTCGTTTAATAAATATTTTTCAAGTTATAAAAAGCTGTGATTGATCTGTCATCTTCTCAAAATACCTTCTCAAAATCGATCAGTGGATATTCACTGATTTATTTTTAAAAAATATACACAGGGGAGAGTGAGGTAATTGCGAATACCTAAGGGGGAACTGAAATAAAACAAAAGTAGTTAAAATTATGAATGCTTTTTATTATTAAAAGTTTATTTGAATTAATGAAGCTTAAGATCTCACAGTCAACATGGATGAATTTTTAATAAAAAATTGAATATTTATAAATGAACAAAACCTTGGTGTCACTAATCGTAAAGTTTTTGTGGGCCCCATAGATTCAATTTGTTAAATTTTATCCAATCGTCATTGGGAGGATTTCCATGCTTTTCGTCATAATGTGAGACACCTATTCCATTTTACTCAAAAATTACGTAAAATTGTTGAAAAATAATGAAGTCAACATATTTTGTACATCGAGCGTGTTGTCATTTCACTACTGTTTATCAGGCTTTGCATTCAGGATCGACTACCGATTGTATCACTGCACTGTAAATCCCGGTTTTCCAAACTGCATTATTTTAATGTGGATAAGTGTGTTAAACATGACGTCACCCATTTGATTAACATTGTAGTTATTTTTTACACACTTAGAAATGCGTTAAAAGTGACTACAATGTTAATCAAATGGGAGACGTCATATTTCCCACACTTATCCGCATTAAAATAATGTATTTTGGAAAACTGAGATTTACAGTGTGGGAATATGTTTCTACACCTTCTAACGTAGCCAAATATGGATCTGTTGTCGAATTATAGATCATAATAATAATAGCTTTTACGATATTACAATCCTTTTGTAAATAGTATAAACCATGTTATGATCCACCTTCAAAAAAATAGGATATTACACTACAAGGGCAGGAATTTCAACTTTCTGCCTTTGTTGTGTAATATACTATTCCATCAATCAGTCCAATTTCTATTACTAGACAGTCTTGTCGGAGACACAATTATTTTACTATGACTCGATATTTTTAACTTTAACTCTCGTTTGTATTAATTATATAGACTACAAGAAATACATAATTACACAATTACATCGTTAAATGCATTATCTTCAATAAAAAATTTTTTGTTCTGATTCCACAGAGTGACAAATGGGAAGTTGCTTAAAGTATGTGCATCTTTTTCCTCTTTTACCGTATCGTAAAAGCTGGGCCCAATAGCAGGTACATTTTAGAATGTTGTCAGTTGCTATTGAGACACCATAAACAGCAATAAAAAGAAAAGAAAAGTGTATCTCATCGATTGCTTTTATTCTAAAGGTAAAAACTAAACTTAAACGTATAGAAGTTTTCGTACTAAGTTTGGAAGTAAAAGAGGAGCCAGTCAAAATACTTTTACAAAGTAAGAATGAAAAAAAAAAAGTTGTTGAATGTTCGATTAAACTGAAACCTATTTCAAATAAAAATGACTACTTCACTAATTTAATATGTATTTTTATTTTTTCTCTCCTCACACTCATCTCAAAATGATAAGTCATTACTTTAGACAACTTCCCATTAGTCACCCTGTACTAAAAACATGAAATTGTTTTTTTTCCAAAAATTCTGTCTGTTACTACAGCATTTTCTTTTGTTTGATTCACAGCACCCGTTTGTCACTGAAATTAGTTCTTTTCTTTATACAGCCACAAATTTAATTTTTTGCATCTCCACATTTATCGTATCAATGCATTAAAAGTCAAGACTTTAAGAAATAATCTTCTGGTATGTCACAACATCAGGAAATGTTTGGTATCTAGCAACATAGAAAAGATAACGAAATGAATGTTTTCAAAAATGATTAAAATTATAATTACAATCGTCTTTATATTTTTTTTGTTCATTTGCTATAAAAGCTGATTAAAGATATCTCCTGAAAGTGGAATACATCAAACATGAATAGCTAAAAAGCATGAAGAGCAAATGAATGAAAAGAGCAATGACATAACGAATAAAGTCTAACTGAGGGAAGAGTAAAATTACACTGGGCCAAAAGGTATACCGATGCTTTTTGCTTATGTTGAAGGTTTCACCAGTCCATCCGGTCGACTTCCTACGTTCATATTTCAAGCTTTGGAATGCTGGGGTAGCCATTCATTCTCATGACGATCCACGATATTATTACTTTGAGCCATGAAGAGACTTTCTTGTGGAGTCATTTTTTATATTTTCAACAACTCAATCATCTTTTTCAATTTATTACTTTTTTTTCATCAGTCCTTGTGTAGCTGTTAAATTGATTGTGAAGTTTTCTATTATGATCACAATAACTATTGAAACATTTTATAAAATTGAACAGATAAAATGGAATAGACTAATGAACAAAAGTGGATAGGATTTCATTATGAAAGTAGTAGTATGTTCATATAGATAACTATGTATACGTAGAGGAAATCAGTGAAATGAGGACGAATCGCGGTTAATTATCGATTAAACCAATGAGGTGTGAGGACTCGGAAGATCGTTACCGGTCTACCGTTTCACCCAGGAGACATCAGATAATGAAAGCTATTAGAAATAAAGTGCTACTCTTCGGCAATAAAACCTAGAAAATTTTGTAAATAAAATTGATCTTTCACCGTCTGCTGTTTTCAGCATCGTTATTACCTAGGTAGATTCGATAAATAAGGTGGTGAATAATATAAAAAAAAAAATGGGTTGGAAAATAACTTTGAGTTGGAAAAAAAACTTCTTGTTCAAGTTGAAAAATTATCGAGTGTTTTATCAGGTAATAATAATTCAATTAGTACTCTTTGCCTTATTTTAATAAACGAGCTGTGAAGCTTATAGATCCTAAGTGTATTATTTATGAGAAAGTAATTGATAGAGTCTAAAAAAATTCCTAGAAGATAATCAAGTAATTAAACAGAAAATATTTTTATTTATTTAAATGTGATTTACTTATTATTGTTTAAGAAAGAGTTATTAAATTTGACAAAAAAAGTAGTAAAACACTTAAAATAACTTTGAATTTTGTTTTTCTATTTGATAGTCTACTAACTTCAATCTAGATAAAGTCACTATGTGGCCAATGACTTGTGTTCATTTTGAAGGCAGAGACATTATGGTAATATCTTAATACTACACGTTTTAGGGTGTATGAACTTAATTTCACTATTTTCTTGTTAGTTAGCAGAATATTTCTTCCTATTAAACAACTCGAGGAATACATATGCCTCTTTAACCACCGATCTATGTCAATGAGAGTACTCTAATTAATTTATAGCCATAGACAACTCTTCTCAAGGACCTAGTCGCACTAGTGGCAAGCGGGTTTCTGCATGTTACAGCATTAGTTGTTATGCAAATAAGTGTACGAATAATTTAGTAATTGATGGTTCCACATATTTTCTGGAATATCTCGTAAATAAAGCAAAGATCAAGCGTACTTGACGGGAAAAAATTTCTTCCTTGTAATTGAAGGAATATTTTAGTCATCGATTGTAAAAGAAATATAGAACAATAATATTTTCTTTCTTATACCTTAAGAGTTCCACCATAAGGGTAGACAATTGGTGGAGGATACAGAATTTCATCTGTTATGGTCTGCAGGCTGTTTATTCCACCACAATGTAGACCAATGAGTAAAAAAATAATGAATCTCATACCAATTAGTTTATGATGGAGAATTAGAGCTTCTTTCACTAGTTGATAATGCTTCATTGTGCTTCGCTGGTAGAACCTATGTTTGATTAGAATATGTTTTATAAAAATACTTGTGTATTGAAAAAATACTTTTAGTAGGACCAGAAAAATTTTTTCTGTTATCAATATGTTACATGTTCTGTTATGAATATTCACTGATTGCCAGTGTCAATCATATCACTAAAAGAATCAGTCATTGGATTGGTACTGGATATCAGTGAATATTCACTGATTCGCAGTAGTTTTTACTGATTCAGTTTAAGAGAGTAAGAAAATCAAATTCTTTTAGAGGAGATAAAAAAAATAATTTAACTCCCGTTGTATCATCTCAAATTTTTAATAATATCAGAGAAGAGAAATAATATAGAAGAACCATTGCATGGAGATCTATTGAACGAATTCTTTGGGATACATATGGCATTTTAGAATTTGTTTCGTATCCCGAGCCATATAACAGCAGGTAATAATTGCCGTCCAACAGCTCTCATTGAGATGGTTCTTCTATATATTATCGCTTTTCTTGGATAATATAGATCCGAGATTTTACGACAGTATGGAATAAAAATATCCTTTTACGACAATTTTCAGAAGTGCACAACTATTTTCTACATAAAAAATAATTGAAAAATCGTAAAATATATTGAATTAAAAAAAAAAAAATATTAACCTAAAAATGACTTCTTTTCAAAGACACTAGCATATCAGCACGCGTCCACAATCGGCAAACGGATTTTTTACTATAGTACTTGTCACGCTACTATAGTATCGTGTGTAAGTTTTAGTCGTACCACAAAACTGGTTTTCTAGCGGTACAGAGAATCGTTTACTGCTGATAGGGATACGTAGTTCTCTTATCAGAATACCGATTAAAATAAAATAAAGTTTTCCGATCCTAAAAAAAGTGTTTCTCCAGTTTGAGAAGTAAGAGGTATTTTACATTGAGCGATCAACACTGCAAATCCAAGTGCATTCTTGTTACACATTTAAACATGTTAAATATGACGTCACCTATTTGATAAACATTGTAGTCACTTTTTACACACTTAGAAACGCATTAAAAGTGACTACAATGTTAATGGAATAGATGACGTTGTATTTAACACGTTTAGATGTGTAATAAGAATGCACTTGAATTGACAGTGAATTTAATGAGAAAATTTCGTTTAAGACTTCTAATATTTTTGTATGGGTGGGCATTGTTAAGAGCCTTAGTAATTTTTAATGTTATTTGTAAAATTGTAAATTATTATGTTCAAGTAAATTAATGATGTATATGTCTTGAATTACTATAGAAAATATGTATTAATTTTGTAAGACCAAAATAAACTAATTTCTGGTTTAAAACATATTTCTTATAAAATGACTTATGATACTTACTATTATTTGCGAAATATAAATTGATGCTCAATAACTGTTTAGTCCATGATCATTCTAGTGAACGATTCTAAAGGTGATTCAATGCAGTTTGGATAAGTCGAGCTGCAGTCACTTCCAGATCTACCCAACTGTTCAGCGTCTTGATACAATTTTTCACTCTGTGAGTAATTCGAATTAATCGATTCGTGCAAAACTTCCGTTGGTCTGTGAAAAATATAATCAATTTTTAATATTAACTGGGGTTGAACTTGTTAGCAGAAATTAATACCAATAAAAAAGTTAATTTGCATTTCAAAATAAGGTAAATTTTTCTTTAATCTTTTATTGAGTGAATAATTGTCGTATGGTAGATTCAATTCATGTAACACGGTTGGTAAAATTTTTTCAGCAAAAGAAAATATTACGCGTTGGAAGAACTTCAATATCCTGGATAGATTTCTTTCTGCATTGTTTATAATAATTATTTCAACTGTTATAAACAATTTAAATAAACAAAAAGTAGTCTATAACCTTCCTGACAACACTCTCTACATGTTTCCAAACTTTGGTCGCAATCAGATAAGCCATTTCGAAGATTAGCGCGAACAGACAGACAGACACCAGAAATTTATATAGTAGTATAGATATACACTATGCGACATGAATGCTGTCCAATTTTTTGAAGGTTATACATCCGATTTCCTATACTCTCTTATACCAAATTCAGACAGCATTTATGTCGCGCAGTGTATAAAAATAATAGTAGTGTGAAAAAAAATTAATTACAATACTGTTTGTTATGACAATCTCTTGCAACATGTTACTATTTTTAATATTTTTGTTATCTATATTTTCCAATGGAGTTAATGTATATTTATTTCAATTCAAGTCATTTTAAATATCCTAGGAATGATTGTGTTGGTGAATGATATCCAAAGTGTTTAAACTGGAAATATTCGATTTAAGAATATTATTACCGAAATGATGAATCTAACATCAAAGAAACTTGATTCATAATCAGGTCAGGTGTTTGATTTGGATATATTGTAATAAGATTTGAAAAGAGTTCATGTATGGTCAACACAACGATGATCGACTTATGATTGAGCTAGCATTGACCATCAAATGGTGTTATCATGCAGCCATAATCCAGTTGTGACCTAGTTGTGTCTTGCTCAGGAACTTCGAAAACAAGTTTGTATTCATAACTGACGAACGCAAAGACTTCATTTGGATGATATAATATTTCTACTAAATCACATTTTAATTGGACATTAATTAAATAATGTTAATCCAAATGAACAGTCATGTTCAATATCAATAGAAGCACATGACACATGTTGATGATCTTGAAAAAGGTAATGAAATACAGTGTCATGGATATCTCTCTATACTTTATCTGCTCGGGTATAAAGACACATAACATTAAAGTAACCCGTGAAAATCGAGTTCAGATCTGATCAGATTTGAATTTTTTTTTTTAATTTTCAGATATGGATAGTCTCATAGTGCTAATCTGATCACTGTAAATTTTAGTGTTCTAATATGACGTCACCCATTTGATTAACATTATCTCAAATTCGAAACACTTAAAAACGTTAATGTTTCAAAATAAAACACTAACTTTTACAGTGATCAGACCTGAACTCTGAATTCATTTTTCCGATTACTTCAGACCATTTCAGATCTTCTCAGATATAAATTTAGAAGACAATGTTATCATATTCATCTGAATATCAGTGAATATTCATTGATTCGCAGTAGTTTTCACTGACTCAGTTTAAGAGAGTAGTTTCTTTTGGAATGACAAACTCGTCAGAGTAAATGAGCAGATTTGGGGCTCCAGATCAAGTGTTTTGGGAAAAAGAATAAAAGTATTTTGGGAAAAAGAATAAAAGTATTCTGTAACTCAATTTAGGACGTAAGAGGGACGGTGGAGTGGGAGAAGCCACGATAAAGACGAGTACAGGCACGAATGGTAGGAGAATTTACACAAGTTTGGAATAGCTTAATCGGTAGAGCATCCAGTGCGTAACTGGAAGGTCGGGGTTCGATTCCCGGGCCAGCAGGGTATTTTTTCTGAAGCAATCACCCTGTACAAGTCGTGGAGTCGTCGAATTATGTGTTTGATCTGGAGCTCCAATTCTAAATAATTACCCTTTTCAACATACTGAAATTGGAAGGTCATTAAAGATGCGTAGCTTAATCTGTATAATGACCAAATGATATAGATGATTTTCAACAATAAGTGAAGAAGAAAAATTCCTCTTCTCAAGAGCTTCTATCGATGTCTGATGAAAAAAATATATATAGAGTTCATTGCATTCTATGTTCAGCATATTGCAGACTCAATTTTGTTTATATTTGAAATGTAATATTAGTCAATAATAATTATTCCCTCGATAAATTTTTAACAAGATATGATGTTTAATTCATCAAGGATTTTGATTAGTCATTTGAAACTTTGATTACTGATGAATCATCACTCAAATGAACTTCTAAAGGAATATTAGTGTTTAGGTAGCAAGTTTTGCACCACCTTTCTTGACATATATATTCGTACATCGTAAATTTATATAGCCTAGTTTTGAAGGCCAACTTACAGCCAACTGTGCTTTTAAAGCTCAACCAGAATGCAGGCACCTGAAGAAATAATACTCTCTCGCGATAAACTAACGAAGCTTAGTGTATAACTTTGACTAACGTCATTTATATCCTCGCTAACTACACTCTCTACCTTATTTCTTGGAAATTACTGCAACGGCTGCAACCCACTCCAATGGTCCCAGTTGCTATTTGATATCAAACCGCAATTATATTTAAATTCGTGGAAAAAATTACTTTGCAAAACAACCTCTTCACCAGACAATAAATTTGTATTCTTTTACTTTTATGTATATTTATATCGTTTTATGTGTTGAATTAAGATTGCATTAAAATTAGTCGATTCTTCATTGTAATATATTTATATTTTCTTCTTCGCAAAATGGAAAATTAAGATTAAAGAATCAACAACTCTGAAACGAGCTCTGAGTAACGTTTACTAATGAAAGATACTTGGAATTATTCTTATGATAATTGTATTATTTGATAGCTTGCTGGGCTATATTTTAAAAAATGATTCATTCTTCTGTTTTATAAATGAATATAAATAAGAGGAACAATTTCGAGCTAAATTTATTCCTAGGCAGCGAAAAAATTGTTCTGAGTAGACTGATGAAGGTGCTTTAATGTGATAATCATCAAGGTAAGTAAAGATACTTTTTGCTAAAATTTTATTTAAAAACTAGCAACTTTCTTGTTTTCATGATTAATATACAATTTGTTTTACTTTAATTTCTAGGAATTAAAGTTTTTAATTTCGTAGGGAAAGTGAAGGAGTGAAATGACAATTTCATTCAGCTTTTTGAACTTTATGCATGACATGCATGCATGCAATCTATGTCAGAAAACAAAGACCAAGATGGTAAATGTCGAGACTACTGAACCCTCATTGTTTATGATTACAAGTATTTTTTTTCAGAAAGAAGACTACTGATAAGGACCAAGAGCTAAATCCAGATCCTTCTAGTTATGCGCAAGTCTACTTTACCACTTGAGCTATTCAGTTGTCGTACTTTTTTTCTTACTTTTGTACTAACTTCCCTAGTCAAAAAATTAGGATTCGTTCTATCTTGAAGTAGACTTAGACTGAATTTGGTCTGATTTAAACATTCTTTTATTCTAAATGTCTCAATTAGTCTTCATAATCCTATTTACATTGAATCTTCAATAGTCTCATTTTATCTTAAATATTTTGAATCATATTAAATTGATTTTATCCTCAATGTTTTCGATCGTGCTCTCTTCATTTTGTATTAATTTTAACATGTCTTTACCTCAAATGTTTTATTTAGTTCTCATAAGCCTTTATTAACCAAATTCCGGTTAGTCTCAGATAGGTCTCAATGTTTCTTGTCACACCAGCCTTTTTTTAAACTCATTTCGCTTACTTTTAGAATTCAAAAACCTCAATTTACTCTTATTAACTTTTACTTACTAAACCTGAATCAGTCGCATTTTATCCTTAACTTCTTTAATTAAGTTATATTCTTTTTACATAATTCGTACGAATATTATGCTTTGCAATTTTTATTATAATTAACTGATAATAAATCGTTACTCTAAGTAGAGTGTGAGGCAAAAATGAGAACAAATTGAAAAATAATATTAAGCCTCAAAGTCTCAATAATGTTTTATAAATCTCATTCTGTCCTCATTTAATGAACCAAACAATTTTCAAATAGAACTCATTTTCTCCTCAATAATAACAAAATGAGACTTTTTTGAGGATAAAGTGAGATTTTAAAAAAATCTAAACGTCTCAAAAGTCTCAAATTGTCTTAAAAATGGAAAACCGCGGATAAAATGAGACTTTTTAGTCCTTTAGTCTCGAATATATATCGAAATTCGATTAAAGACCAATTGAAGACAAAATAAGTCCCAATGTTTTGACTCGGGTTAAAAGGGGAATACGGGGCAAGACAGCTTTTTGAATTTTAAAATGACTTATACACATAGTAATGTCATTTGAGTGATAAGTATATTTTCAAATTAATGTTAACTTTTGTATTAATAGCTTCGGAGGATCTGTTTTGCCTTACTAAGTTACCCAAAATCGAAAAAACCGTCTTGCCCTGTATTTCCTTATCACTTTGACTTTTCTTTGTTCGATTACCATATTTCCTTAAATTAGGCTTTAATAAGTTACTCAATGGGTAATTAATGACTGTGTCATTCAGAAAAACTGTCTTCTTATCTCAACATTTACCAAATTTGTTTTTTGATCTTAGTAACATACCACATGAGCACCGATGATTGTGCTAGTATTAGATTCTGATTTATTAAGAGCTTCAGCCGTATAGCATTTGAAACGATAAATAATTAAAAACTAACTTACGTTAACACCAAATGAATAATTTCTTCGGCAGCGTCCCCGCTATTTCGGCTGAGAGGTGTTTTAGCAAGTTCGCAAATACTTCTTAGTAGACAATGTCTGCTATTCTTCCAACCATACCTTAAAAAAATAAATATTGGGCTTCATCATCAAGTCCAAATCTTTTTCAAACTCAATCATGTTATACCATAAATTGTTAGGACGCAACCGCCCTGCACTGTTTATATACAGTGTGACAAATGGGAAGTTGCCTAAAGTAATGGCTTTGTAGTTTTGAGATGAATGTAAGGGAAGAAAAAATAAAAATACATATTAAATTAGTAAAGTAGTCATTTTTATTTGAAATAGGTTTCAGTTTAATCGAACATTCAACAACTTTTTTTTTTCATTCTTACTTTGTAGAAGTATTTTGACTGGCTCCTATTTTACTTCCAAACTTTACCTCTAGAATAAAAGCAGTCGATAAAATACATTTTTTCTTCGTTCGTAAGGTAACTCATTTTAAAGCATACATATTGCTGTTTACGGCGTCTCAATAGCAACTGACAACATTCTAAAATGTACCTGCTTGGGCCCAGTCTTTTATGATAGACACAGAGAAATGTATAGTAAAAATTACCCTAAATTTTATGGTAATTTGGAGACACTGCAGTTTAGTAAATTCAACAATGTGCACAGTAATTTTCACAATGTGTATAGTAATTTTTACCCTTACCCTGCAGTGTCTCCAAATTACCATCAAGAGTGATCTGCTCGTCACTCGCGCCAAGTCCACATCCCACTTTCTGTTTCTCACTCTTTTTCACATTATCTCTCTCTCTCTCTCTCTCGCACTCCCTCATGACAGCGCCCTTTCCTCTCAATTCTATTTTTTCTATTAACTTTTAAAGTACAGCACATACGCATAATTCACTAATAGATTTGCCATACAAATCATCTATGAGCTTTTATTTGCAGCATTAATCATAATTTTTAATCTATTTTGTAACGCCTAAATTTTCTCAAGGCGCAACCTCAAGAAAATTCCCGCCCCAATTTAAAAATTATCTAAATTTTATGGCCCAGGATTCGATGGCGGATACGTTACAAAGTGAATTCTCTAGACACAAATTAAAATCCAATTCCAACTTTATTATATGAACCAACTCCAACATACTCCAACTCGTCGACGAAGAGCTACAACTCTTCTCGGGACACTGGTGCGAGCCACAACTCTTCACCTTCTAAACTAAACAGGGCCTAACTACGTGTGGGCGAGCTACGACTCATCCCGGGATACTCGAAGAGCTAACAACTCTTCGAAGGAAGGCTTCAACCTTGCCTCAATAGCTGACGAGCTACAACTCGTCAGCGAGGAGCCACAACTCCTATACGGTCCAAGATCGTGAGCTACAACTCTCGATCACTAGCTAAGACCAAGAGCACCAACTCTTGGCCGGAAGGCTACCACCCTCCAAATCCTACTTTCGGAAAGCTACTACTCTCCGGGGAAACTAAAAGGCTACAACCTTTTAGCCAGAGCTACAACTCTCGTTGGTCTCGTCAGTCTAGTACCTCGGAGACAAGTGAAGTGACGATCTCCGCAAAATCCAGCTCTCTTATACTGTTTGGCTCCGCCCACTTTGCTATCCCCCACTACTATTGTTGTAAGTTGCGTGGGGAAGTCGTCATGGCAACAAGATCATCACAATATCTCTCTCTCTCTCTCAGATCTATTACGTTTCTTAGGACCCTCTCTCTCTAATACATGGTTTTAATAGGCTTTGCCGATAATTTAAATTTCGCGCTATTTCTCATGGGTCGATAAAATGATTTTAGTGATTATCGATTCATCAGACCAATTAATTTTCTATAATATCGGCCTTAAAAATGTAACTTCGTTACAATTTATTGAAAAGATATTTATCCGTAAAGATTGAAAGTCTGAACTTTTCTGAAAAATATTCGACAAAAGTCAAGATTCTCAGATTTTTTGAGTTGGCAACTCTACATCAATAGACTACATAGCCATGCTTCCCTCCGTCCGAAGGACGGTAATGAGTACCTCGCCCCTTTGGGCATAACTCTGGGAAATTATACTACACTACTATCTTAGCGATGGCATTTCCCGGGACGCATATACCTGCACCTAGAACAGGCACAGGGATACACGTAACAAGCCCGAGGCCTTACGACATACCACTACGAGTCCGACCTCAATTGGCCAGTTGTACCTGGGCCTACATGTCATATTTTGACTTTGCAGCCCCAGGCACAGGGCTTGGAATTTGGCCTCCCGTAGTACCAACTTTCTCCGCTTTGGTCGGCAGTCGCTAACGCGTCTCGCGCTCGGCGTGTTCGACGTATCCCCATTCAGACTGCCATATAGGGCAGTACGAAAGTGGGGTACGACGGATTATAGTAGTCTAATCTGCCCCCGTTGTTGCGCGACATATCTTAAGAGCAGAGACATCTATGCAACCCCGGGGGCCCCTCAATAGACTACATATGAGAAAAATATTCTGTTTGCCATATTATATTTTGTCCACATCCAGAAATGTACATTTTTAAATTGTTCAAGTTGGTAATCGGCGCCAAGTGCACATTCACCTTCTTTCTCTCTCTCTCTCTCTGTTTCTCACTAGTGCGCTCTTTCCCCCATGAGCGCCGAGGCAACCGATTACTCTATACACGGAAGATTTTGTGTGACGTAATCAACGCATCTTTATATGCAAATATCTTTATAATTACTACATATAATGCTTTCATATTTAATAAGTAGTTATCTTATATCATAAGCTTCCGATCAAATGTTAAATGAGCATTTTTCGTTAATTATTGACGAAGTTATAAATAAGCCACGCCCCTAACAGCGATATTTCTGCTATTCAAGATTTTTTCGCTTACTTTTTCACTCTACTTCATCGAGCGTTCTATGATGTGTTATCTCTTACTGAATGTGTCTTTTGTCACTCACTTTCACGTTAGAGTTCCTACAGTGCCCTCTTTCTTGCCTTATGTATTGTTATCACTCTCTTTTACCTTAACTTTGTGATGTTTTCTTCTCTCTTGCCTAACAAAGAGACATCTATGTTCTAGAAAATGAAGAATGTTTCCCGCGTGTTGCATATCGATTTAAATGAATTTTTTTAGGAATAATTGATAAAAAAATGTTTTCAACAATTAAATGAAGAAATAATTGTTTGTTGAATAATTATAACGAAATAATACTCGTATAATTAACTTTTTTATGTTGAACTTTTTTCTGTCGCGAAGAAATAAAAAAAAAGGCTCCGCACAATAACAGAAAAGCAAAAAATACACCTATGTAGCAAAGGAAATAGCTGAAATAGTTATAAATTATGTTTTTATAAAAACATATTTTTTGCCGAAAAATTCTATGAATGCATGTAAAATTCCAATTTATCCATAGAATAATTTGTACATTCCTATCTTCTATCAATGTTACTAGTCTTTTTAACTTCCCATTAGGAAGTTATTGTAATTGGGTCGATTGGTGAAATTTGAATTTTCATTAAATCTTCACGTTTCAAGATATTTGCAAGCATACTAAAATCAATTGAAAGGAAAAAGAGTCTATTCCATGTAATAAATAACTTGGCATTCCATGTGATTTTAATTATTTTTGGTATCCAAACATTCCAATAGTCTATTACATATGAATGTTGTTATATCAGAGTCACTTAGGACGTGGACTTGGCGCAAATTTTACCGACATCTGGTGAAGTCGGTTTTGGTAGGACAAAATTTAGGGTAATTTTTACTATACATTTCTCTGCGTGTACGGTAAAGAGGGAAAGAGATGCACATACTTTAAGCAATTTTCCATTTGTCACTCTGTACTGTAATTACATTGGCATTTAAGTTCTTATGCTTTCATCTCAAGACTTACGACTGTTATTGTCCTTTTTTTTCCAGTGCAGTAATATCTTCATCCTAAGTAAACATAAATAGGCCTAAAAGAAGCCCAAAATATGTCCGAAATGAAAAATAAGCCCACAATGAGCCCATTACAGGCCTAAATTTCGAAGAAACCTAATTTAAGCCAAAAAAATTATTTTCCAGGCCCACAACGCGCCCAATTCAAGCTTAAAAATATTTTCTGTGAGCCTAAAACATGATTTGGGCTTAAATCAGGCCTCTTTTGAGCGCGTCCAAAAACTGATCATTTTTACCCGAGATAATATTATTAATAAGCATAGCAAAATGTTTAGCAGTAAATTAATGAAATTCAAGTTAAATAAATATTTGTACAAATTTACCATAATTTTTTACATCATTTTTTTTCGTTACAAACAATTGGTTTAAAGGTACTTAAATAATGCAGTAATTTTCTAGAATATTCTCATTAATCGATTTTACGATGACTAAGAACTGTCTGTTAATACTTGCTTGCTCCTTGAATTAATTGCCTTATGTCCTAATTAATTTATGCCTCAGTGAATCCTTTTACCTTTCGCAACCCTCTGGAAGTGCAACAACTCCTCGAGGCTTTGACTCAATGAGCACGTCAGATGCACATTTATTTAAGTTATCGCTCACCTGTTTATTTTTTGCACTCATTCTCTAACATTAATTACTGTTTTATTTTATATTTTTTTCCAAAGTTCGTCTATTTTTTGCAGTCTAGCCTCGTTTAAAATGAAATTCTATCCACGTTTCGCAATTAATATAGACCATCAGCGATAAAATCAAGAGTAATTTTTCATCAATTTTTATAACGATTTTTTTCCTCGCCCCAGGATAAACTGAAGACTACTTGAGAGAATCGATTTTCAGCAAAAAACACATTGAAAGTTAAGTGCATCTTTCGTTGCTCATCGTCTCGTCAAGCTATTAATTATTAATTAACAAAATATCGGTTTGTACCTACTAGATATTTATGCCAAGTTTTTCGTGTCTAATTTATCGAGCTTTCCAAAGTGAAAATATTCATAAAAAATAAATTATTTAACCATCCAATAATTTTTGAAAAATAATCTGAATATAGAATATTCGCATCAAAGAATTACTAAACCAACGAAAACATTATGTTTTGTAGCATATTGTTTGAATTCTAATAAAAGTGATAACAGCGAATGAGATTTTTTCGTTTTCAATTGAATATAAAGTCTATTGGAACATGTGTTGAATTAATTGGTACAATTTTTATGATTTCAATAAAATAGGTTTTTGTTTCATTTCAATATTTATTGTCTTGTAGTTGTAAATGGCTGGTTTACAACATAGTAATATCAATTTCACAATATAGTGCCAAAGAAATTTTCAGTGTATAAAAGTATAAATCTATAGACATAATATTTGAATGTGCATTTAAAAGTAAAATCATTTATCTACATGATTATTTTATCTATCGCTTTTTTGTGAATATGAAAAGTTGTTTGATTAATTTAAAAAAATAATATCATTTCACAACTCTGTTTTGTTCTCTTTCCTTTATTTTGATTTATTTCAATATTTTTGTTTTTGTTATTATAAATTTGTAGCAGAAATTCTGAAATTAATAATTTACCATTTGTGAAAACTTGATGGTATTTTATTACGATATTATTATTGTAACTTTAATTATGAATTCATGATACTTGAAACCGTTAATATGAAGTTATTGTAGACACCTTAGTAAATTTGATTCATTAATTATTGGTTCAATCATGAAACTTTAGAATCCAACATTTTAGAATACAATAGAACCTTCTGGTAACTTGTTGTTGAACCTTACTGTGTCTGTTAATATTATCTATACGTCAGTGGTGTGAAAAAATTTCAAACGGTCTCAACTGTCCAGTGAAAAGAATGATGAAATTTCGCTAGTTCACCATTGCTCTCAGTTTTTTAATTCTGCATAAAAAATGGCTGGACTGATTTGGCTAAAAATCCAATCGGTTTTAAGTTGCGTAATTGTGTCTAATATAATTAGTCCTACGTCGATATCATTTTTTGTTCTCGAAATAATTGAGGCGAAAAATAATTCCGAACGCACGTACGAATATACGCACGTGCGTACGTATACATCAGTTGTTGGGTGAACCTCTGTGTGTATGTACGTATAGCAGTCATTAATTCAAGCGCAAGTACTTCATAGTATAATAAAAAAAAACACTCTAGATAATAGAAACAACTCTTTAACTTTCTAGTCAAATAGTAAAAAATCTTAATCACTAAACTCTACGATTATAAAAATATTTCAATTTCTCTTAGTACTATGGAATGCCAGTAAAAAAATTACTATTAGCACTTGAAGGCTGCGTTTAATTAAAAATTATTAAGCATCATTTTTTATTATAATTTTTATTAACTTTTACTCTTACTTTCCATTTCAAAAAATTTCCCTCGAATTGAACAATATGGCCGCTTCTATCGCTCAGTTAACTTCATTTTTATTCCTTTTTTTAACAGTTGTAGATGTCGTGACAATCACTAATAACGCAAAATCTCATTAACATTGAACCATTTTTTTGTATTTTTTTTCGCCATTTATGCTTGATCGCGAATTTTATTCACACATGTTCCTGTATCTAAAATACATAGAATTCGTTTTTACACCTTAAATATATAATTTTATAACTGTTACAAAATATTTTTTAACAGTTAAGAAGCCTCCCTTATTATTACAAATCTCTTCTATCAGTGTAATAGAGTCGATTTCTGAAATTCGGAATTTTGTCATGTCAAAATTTGGGAACCATTGAAAATCTACTTCGTCAGTATATGAGTTAAAAAAAATTTATTCAGCATATATATATATATATATATATATATATATATATACAAAAAAGTAAAATAAAATGCGCAACTAATACTCACATATCCAGGAAGTTTTCAACAAATAAATAAAAACTTGTCAAATTAAAATCTTGAATATCTCTCGCCGGAATAATAGAAGGTTTAAATTGCGTCGAATTCCAGGGTAGTGCGTAATTAAATTGAAATCCTGCTGAGAACACAACGCTGCCCTTTTTACTTGTAATCAAAGGTACGGACACTCCAATAGTGAACTGAAAGATAAAGAACTTATTGTATAAATCAAACATGTAGAGGAATAGATTGAATAGGATCGTCAGTCAGTAAAAACAACGCTTGTTTGACAGGTTAAATAGTGGTACCTCTTGTCAATGTTTGACCGCACATACCGCTTACTCTTCTTTATCCCGTTCATCCCCGACAGGAAAATTCATTGGCATTACGTGACTAACCACAAATTCATATTTCTGTTGAATGTATACCAATCACCAAGCCTACATGACAGCTCTTCGTTTTCTCTATTTGTAGAAACAGAAATTTAGTTCCCATTTCCGATCTCGAATTATGATTTTCGATAATGGATAAAAGCACTCGCAGTTGTATACAGTCACGATTTATCGGTCAGTGAATTACAAATCCTATTGGAATGTTTGTTTATAAAATCAACATACGTCGGAATTATCTGAATCACTTGTCATCATCATTATTATGATGTTTAAATGCCTAATTATGATTTATTTGCAATGTCGAATATTTACAAAGAACAGTTATTATTTTCAGAGGTAATATTTAATATTCATTAGAATGGAAATTATTATTTGCACTGCTGTGGTAACGCACATTATTTCAATTATATTGATAATATAAATATCGCTACTAAATAACGAAAGAATGCTCAATTATGATTTATCATCATTGACATTTATTTCAAAATATTAATACTAATTAAACCGTTTATCCATGAATTTTCTAATTACTTCTGATTAAATCAATTTATCAAGAAGCATTAATTCGATTTTGAAATAAACATTAATTTACATAACGATTGACCAAGAGAATAATTCTTTTACTCTAAAAATAAGTCAGTGAAATAGACTATCCTAATGGAAGTTTTATTGCCGAAAATTTATCAAACAATAGCTGATCATTAAATAAATTCATTCAAATTCAGACTATTATTAAATCAAAATTTGTCTATAACACTCGAAAGTATATGCCGAGATTGGTTAAACTAAATAATGAAGACCGGAAATTAAGAAGTACCGAAATTCACAAATTTGACGATTTCGGCGCTGTTTGAACTGAAGGGTTACAACAAATTTAAATAGTACGAAAAATTTATTTATTTATTGTCATATTTTTTAACTCATAAAAAACCATAATTAACAATAACTGATAATTCTTACACATTATTAGCCGAATTCGATTGTTATAAACAGTAAGAAGTTGTTGAAAACGAGGTATTGCGAGAGAACTATGAAAAATAATAATTAACTATATTTTCGGAAAAAACAATAATGAGGAAAAGAAGTTATCAATTTTATTGCTCGTCTTATTATTATTATTATTATTATTATTATTATTATTATTATTATTATTATTATTGTGTGTGTGTGTGTGTGCCATAGAGTTTTCACGTCGAATGGGTTATACGTGCAAGTGTGTTATGCATCAAATTAATACACTAACACACTCGAAACGGATTAAGAAAACTTTGTATGCTAAATTTTCAATTAGTCTTTGAAATTTATTTTTGAAAGCATAATTATTGTAAAGATTTCTACTAGTATTTGGAAACTTCGGTAAGCTTGACCGGATGTCGAATTACTATAATCACTTATGTCGAGCCCAGAGAAAATAGACCTGCATAGAAGTTCAATGCTGTGTTCTGTTTAGGGATTAACCCAGGCCACCTCAACCGTGTTAAACTCCTACCTAGCTCCATAAGAACCCATACTAAATTTTTGGAACACATCGGCCCATTTGAAATAAACTTCTATTCATGTCTCTCTTCTCTGGTCGAGCCTATTAGTTATTGTACCCATGCTCTGAGAGTCTCAATATAATTTGTTTATTTAATAAAGCCAAAGCACGTCTCAGTATAGAATTGATTGTACATTCATTTGTGAATTGTTGGCAGATTGATATTGCCTGGCACCTGATTATTGTCTCCTTAGTATCTATTTATGAGAAAATAAATAATTCATCAATTAAAATTTACAAAAAACCACAAATAATAATTGTCATCTCCAAATCCTGTCACCGTGTGGTACAACAGATAGACTAGCACGGTTTTGTAGTTACAATTGATACTTAAAAGACTTAAGGGAGGAAAGAATATATCGAATCCTCTTTTAACGCTGAAATTGAACTTCTTTTTTAGGCCTGAAAGTGTTCGATATTGTCGCATTCACCACATTCAAAACTAATAAATTGTTCTAAAAGAACCTCGAATTGTCCTCAACATCATCAACTCTCTGCATAAGAAGTATTAAGGAATTAGTACGAAAAATTGAATATTAACTAGTTTTTACTTATAAATCCAAATAATGACTTCAGAAAATGAATGAGTAATGAAAATATTTATTTAAGATTGACAGCTATTAATTAATTAAAGAGATGACGTTCGGTCAATTCAAGTCTCATTCAAAAACTGGAAATAAACAATCTCTCCCCTCGTTGCTATAAACATTCAAATCGTCCAGCAACGTCAACAACTTACAAAACTGTCGTTAGTCTATTAGTTATTAGATGGCGACATACAAATATTTTACAATATTATAAGAATAACCAAGTAAATATCGATTTTTCCACACTAATTTTTTATTAATTTTAAACGTTGATTAACGTTAGAATTATTTCAATGAAAGTAAGAGAACATTCAGATTTAAATCCGTATGTTCATTTAATATGTACTATTTGAATATTTTTGAACGAAAATAAAAAAGATTCAGAAATCGTGAAATAGAAGGAAAAAAAGATCCTCAAGGTCTAAAGAAGAATACGTATAACGTCGCAAAATGATTGTATATTTTTTGGAGAAGTTACCGAGTAGAAGTAAAATTGAAAGAAAATTGAAAAAATATAAATTAAATTTAAAGAATTTTAAGAATAAAATTAGGACCAATATTCTGACTCAGGTTGTACTTTTTTCATAGTTTTTCAAAAGCATGTAGTAATTTATAAAAACTTAATAAAGTATACTCTCAATTGAAAGATTTATTATTAATTATTTTAATAATCCTGTAAATTAATCGAAATACATAAAAAGCTTATTTAAGCTCCTTTAAAGCTTTGAGTGAATTTTCAAAGAATTATTATTAATTAGCGTTATTAATTAGCCAACGATTATTGAATACTTGTAGAAAATGTTATACTCAAGCTCAGTATTATATAATTTTATAGAAAAGTTTTAATTATATTGAAATAGCAATTACAATAATAATTATCTTTTAATAAAATAAATCAATTAATTTATGAAAATAACTTAATATAAAAATTTTTCATGCGTGCATTTTCAATTATTTTTTAATTAAGTTCAATATTATGAATAAAATTAATTTTTGCTATCTCAGTTATTTAATGCAGAAATTTAACGGATTAAACTTACTTGAAAAACAGAGCTTTTAGGAAACAAAAAAACCGCTGAGTCCTCGAACGATTTTGTAACAGAACCGATTACTAGTAACAGTGGCAATAATGCGTCACGTAACATTTCAAGTGAACTGAAAGAAGAAAACTGTAAAAGAAAAAAGACAAAAATGTGTCCACCATGTTCCATACTCTCACAAAATCTTTACTCTTTGCTCAAGTAATTAGAACCTTAGACAGTATTAGCTTTCTGTTTAAAGACGTATATGGATTTTTTCCTCTTTTTTTATAGATTTTTTCTCAAATTATTTTTCCTTTACATCTCCACCTTTATTTATATAACTGATTGCATCAACCATTTTTGTTCTCGTCTCATTATTTTTTCTAATTAAATCGCTTGAATTATTCAAGCAATAAGGAATTATTCATAAGCCTAGATAAATTAAAGCATTGTACTCAGTAATGTGATTCCATACTTACGTAACTTTTGTAGTTATGTATCATCTTAAATATTCAGAACGAACAAAAACAGTATTGTCAAGTAACACATGAAATAAAAAACAAAATTTGAAACTTGTAAAACTTTTGAGCGAAAATTTATAAGAAGAGTTTCATTTCAATTTTATTATGATTTGCCACATGTAGACATGCTATTGTCATATTAAATCACAATATTTAAAAATTTTTATTTCTATTTAAACTACAGTCAGACTCCTCTAATTTCCGCAACTCGGGAGACATCCCAGATAGACTTGGGAGATTATCATAAAATGCATACAATAATTTTTGGAAATTAGTCGTCAACTTTCTATAAATTTTATTTAATATATCGAATTTACTTTGAATTTTCGCTATATTTCCATCAATTTTGTTCTTCAAATTTTTATCATTCGATGCGCAAACACATATATGATTCTTTACACCAACATTGATAATTTTGTTGAGTTTATTTAATTTAAAAGAAATGGAAGCTACACGTAGTGTAAATGAGATATAATATCTGAACAGAAAATAGAAGTTGTTCAAATGCATCAACATTTCATAGAAATCAATTAGAAATTTGAATACACAGAATACACGCATATTATATAGGAAACGTTGAATCTGCGTATATCATTAATATGATTTCTTATTATCAGAATAACTTGGCTTCATAAGGTGCAGGAAATGATTGGTAAATTTGAGGGAAATGTATGCCGATTGTAATGGATTTAACATCCCTTAAAACCGAAAATGACGTAGTGTTGATCGGATCTCTTCGCATTCATTCGGACTTTTCTTGAAGTGGTGGACTACATGGTATGTTGTGAAGTACGTGAGTAATTACAGTGTAGTGCAATCGGAAAGCGTTTAATTAAAAGAGACATATTTTTTGAAAAACAGTTGAAGTAAGTTCAATTAAAATATTTCTCAAATTAATATTGATAAAGTTAATAATAACAATTGAAAATTTTAAGATATATAATATCAAAAGATATATTGTTGAACCGGAGAAAGAATCGTCTTCGGGTGAAATCGGATTTCATAAACAGAGCATTCGCCATATTATTTTATGTATTACTACGCTGCACGGTAAATATTTCTATGCTCTTTTATAATTATTAATGATCAGCTTTGTAGATATACTCTTCTATTATAATTTAAGCATGTGGAACCTCAGGATTTCGTCGGAGTAGACGAAAAGAGGAGAACGAACTCTTTCCAACCCTTGAAGATCCTCAACCCGGTCCTAGTATAGCTGCCGACACCGATTCAGAACAAATAAGTAACATAAGTGATTATTAAAAAAAAAAAAAAAAATTTTAATCAACATTTTATATAAATACTTTACGAATATAATGGGTCCAATATGAATGAAACACATTCCGCCTATATGCCCATAAGTTTCCATCAAATTTCCCTTAACTTTATTGCTTTGATGAATGCATGATGTCATTGAATATTCCTCCATGTTTCCATCAAATTTCCTTCATTGAAAGCAAGAAACTTCTTCCTTAAATTTTACTCTCACAAGACAGCAATGTGTTTATTGCATAAAATAAAGAAACATTTGTTCTGTACTTCTTATTATTATTCTTTCATATAATTCTACTTTCTTGAAAAGCGATGGATCAGGCATAAGGTGGTCTATTTATCTGTCAATTTCGATCAGAAATTTGCTGAAATTTAGGAGAAATAATCCCGAACTTGTCTATCTGGGATGATTCTTGAAATTGGAAATTTCGGGTCATAGTATCGCTCTATGCTAAGTAGCGCGAGTGGGGAGAAAAAAAGTAAGGAGTAAGGGCTGCCTATTGGAAATTAAGGGTTAGGAAATTAGAGGAGTGTGACAGTAAAAATCTTTTATGTCGTTCAGGACACTCCAATATGATGATAAGCAATCATCTCAAATTGAAGAATTATCAGGAATTAATTAGAAATTATTTGTAACTGTACTATTCAATAATCTTTCAGTTTAAAAACTATTTTCGATTTCGACCAAAATTATTTTACGAGTGTACCTCAATTAGTAATGGATTTTCCCCAAGGGATTTTTAGAGCAAATCAACCATATCATTTTTATGGGAGTTTAAAGATTGTACCATTTTTAGCCATTCATTTCTAGGGATTACCTCCAGAAAGAGTGAAATGTTAGAGATTTGTTGACCTTGACAACATAAAAATAACCTGGAAAGGGAATTTCGTAATGAGCCATCATAAGATTTTTTATGGGGGTTTTTATTGGGACCACCCCGGATAGCAAACTTTGATTGTCTATGGTCAGTACTGTAGCAGTTGGTACTACTGGTAGTAGATGATAGGTACTACAACTCTAGTAAAAACTATTCTACGTTTTTTATTCTGCCCAAGAACCTCACTCCTCATCTCACGCCTTTCCCATCTATCACTTGCAGTTTTAAGAAATTGTCAATCGTTCTATAAAAGTCAATCGTGATATGACCCTGAGAAAGTCAACAAATGCTTGAAGCTTTATTCAATTTGGAGGTGACACCTAATCGGAAGTTTATCCGAAATTTTTTATATCATATTTAATGAAATGTGTTGAGTTTTGAGTATGAAGATTTCATTGCGAGGAGGAACGCTCCCCTAGCAGCCAAATCAACGTAAAACTGACAGCAGACTTACATATGTATCTGCCATTTTTCTGGAACAGACAAAAGATTCTCGTAAGGAAATTTAACATCTAGTCCAGTCAATGTGCAGCAAAAAACAGGGTTACTACGAAATTTCGTGGCACAAATTGAGACCAGGCTCATTTTATAGAGAAAAATGCGTTGAATTTGATGAACTAATTCCCAGCCAAAACCTAAAAATTAATTTTTCCGATGAATGTATATATTTTTTGAATAAAGCAAATATCAGGCATACTTGACTGGAAAAAATTTTCCTTACTCTTCAAGGAATATTTTAGTCACCTCACTTTTTGTGAATTCATTTTTATTTTTGAGATTTTTTATCTCAAAAAGTTAAAAAAATCATTAACTGTGGCAGCCATTTTTCACTGATTATTACGCTAATTTATCGGTATTACAGTTTTTTAACCGATCGATAAAATGAGCCCGGTCCCGACTTGTACCACGAAATTTCGTATTAAAAATGCACATTGACTGGACTAATCAGCAATGAATAGCAATCGGACTCAAAAGAAAACAGTCGGGCATAAGCTCGTACGCCCTCGAGAATTTCCGTATTTTTACGCCGCATTTCTTTTCGCTCACGATGCGAGAAAAAAGGCATCCATGTTGTAACACACTTCGCGGTGTGTAATACACATATTGCTGAATTTTTTAGTTTTAATGAGAGTTTTTCCAACTAATGATGTAAATGGTGTATTTTTCCTTGTTTTATAGTGAAATAAATTGAGCAGTTACTGCTGAAATTGAAAACGTGTTAAATAAACTATTATTTTTGCTATTTTATTTTTCTTACCCTATCCTGTTTATTTCTATCAATTATTAACTCATTCTTACGCAAAGACACTCCAAACTCCTTCAATTCTCATATTGTTATAAATCAATTATTCTCCTTAAAATCTAGGAATTGTACGGAAATCATACATAAGTCTAGATAAATTATGCACAAAGTATAAACACAATTCGGAACTGGCAAAACTTGACGTTTCTAATGTAGTATCATTAAGTCGGTAGTAGAACCAGGTGGCAATCTGGAAACCATGTTCGAGCCACAATGCAGTAACCAAATGAGTGAGTGGTGTGAGGTACAGAAGGTAAGGATCGCAAAACATCAGGTAGAGATGAACAGAATAGAGTAGCTTGCGGTAGGAGTGGTTCTCTAACGTGAATCTGGTATAGATTAGAGGAGAGGGATGTTGAGGTGTTTGAGTACTTTCGTATGCAAATCTCAAGTGCTCAGTTACAACGATCCTTTCTACACTACCAAATGTCGTCATATACTTGACCGTATTACGTTTATATTGTAGCCGTTATTGAAAGTCCAGCAGACATTCTGTTTCCTTATTTTATGAAATATGTCATTCTTGAGTTCAATAACGGTCCATTTTATAGTTCAATATCCTTCAATTCAAAAGATCGATTATTCAATAAATCACGAATAAGATTGGTTTCGAATATTTGATATTTTGGAAGAGAATAAAATCTAAACGCGGAAGTATTCAATAAATTACAAAGTGTTATTGATATTACATTCATAACAATCTATATATTCACTCTGTTTTTGGTCATCTGGAAAATATAATCAGTACATATGACTTTTAGGAGTTATAAAATTCAATGGTATCGGTAGAAATGACCTTGGAATGCCACATGATCTAAATTTGTTTAGTTAAAGTCGTGTGTATTGTATGATTCAATGTTATTACACTGAAACCCATTTTATTGTTTTCGAATACTTATCACACACAAATAATTTTTTAGTACTTCCATTAAACTTGCAAAACGTAAATGAAGCTGTAAAATATCCTTCAAGTAGGTTTTTTATGAGTTTTAGATAAGAATATACTTGAATAGTTTTATTATATTCATGAATTTCAATGTAATGTCAATATGTATTTATCTGTTGTCAACATTAAAATGAAGAACAATAATAATTTAATAAAAATTCGTAGCAATCTTCTCAATAAACAAAATTTTAGATTGATATATCAATAAATAATAATTTATAAACTTTAAGCAAGACTAATGTAATATTGGAAAAGAAAGTTTAAAAATTAGATTAAAGTTGAAAATTGTAATAAAATCAGTAGTGAATTTTTTTTATATTAATTAAAATGAAAAAATGAAGATAAGAATTATCAAAACATTGCTTAAAATATTCTCTCACACATGTAAAAGAATGTTATTTAGGCTTATTTTTAATGTTGAAAAATTATTTTGCGTTAAATAATGAAAAATAAATGATTAATAGTCTAGAGGAAGAGCTTCGATACAGTACTGGACCTAAATGCTATGTAATTTTCTATAGGAGGATATAGGAAAATCGCATGTATAACCTTCAAAAAATTGAACAGTATTTATGTCCGGTACTGTAGCTCTACGACACTAACCGACATCAGTCGAAAATTCCCGAAGATGGATGTTTATGTAATGATCTTACGCGCATAGTGAGGAAATAGTATAATGCGTATCAAGGGAGTAAAATATAGTATTTCTTCCGCGAGAAAAATTTTTTCCTGAGCCGATGGTGAGGGATGAAATCTCGCGGATAAAAGTACGGATATGATTATTCCCATAGTGTGGATATATCTTTTTGTCATATTGTCATGAAAATTTCGATTTTATTCTCAGTTTAGAGGTTAGTGAAGCGAAACGTTCTGCCTTGTAGAAAAGGACAACATACGTGTGGGCATGCACACAAACAAATTTTGTCATTTTATGAAAAGAAGAAACGTCGGGCTTTACTGTCTCTGAACAGGGAGTAAAATCGAAGTTTACGTGGGGGTATGATAAAAAAAACATTTTTTTTATTCTAAAATCATTAAAAAAAATTCTTTCGGTATTAATCATGAAGAAAATTGAATATTACGAAGGTAGACATAATTTCAAACAGCTATGGCATTTTCAATTATTGGGGGAAAACAGTTTAAATTACTGATGACAAACCAAAATTCACTGTTGAACATTTTTTACTTACGGTTAGTACAAGAATCCTTTTCATGTACAATGCAAGTTTTTTTAGTGTTTTATAATATTAGCCGGTAGTCTGTATAATCGTCTTAGTTTTTAATAAATATTAGTTGTACCATATTTGTCACTGAAATAACAGAGAGTGACTCAATGGAGGATCTTCTGAACACAGTCCATTCGTGCTAACATTCAAAAAACCAGAACAATTACTTAATGTTAAAAAATAACAGATTTTAATTCACTTAAATGAAAGTAAAAAAAAATATTTGTCACTGGATGCATTGTAAGGTTGTATAGTCTAATAAACATCACAACAAAATTGGTTATTTTACGTAAGCTTTTTATTTAAAATTGCAGTTGTTAAATGTAAATTACAGTTTATTTTCTTGCTTCGGTTTGTGGTGGTGGAGCTTCTGAAAATGTTCTTCTAGAAATTTCTTCAATAGCTGTAGAAGCCTCTCACATCATTGTTTTCATTCCTGATAACATCATATTCATTCCTTCAGAGGCCATCCCTGCTACTTGGTTCGAAATATTTTCAGTTATTTTTTCTATCTTTGGTTTAGTTTCTTTAACCATACTAATGGCTTGTTGCAAGAAATTCAATGGCATTTGTTCAATATCTCTTTTAGATCTAATAGATGGTCCTGAATGCATTTTATCATATTCAGGTTCCAAATTTCCGACAAGTTTATCATTATCTTCTAAACTTTCCAAAGTCACAGCAATATCCAGAAAATTAAATAACAAAATTGCCAAAATTGCAAAAGTGATTCTCATTGTTGTTGGATCAAAAGAAATACTTTTTTTACAACTGAACTCGAGTGTTGGTTAAATTTTTCGTTGGCACGTTCTTTTATAAATGCCTGATTTATACGAATTCTTTTCGTGATTGTCGTGAAATAAGTGTTGGAAAATATCATGTTATGACAAAAACAATTATTTTTTTATTTTGGAAAATAAAATATTTTATTACTCAACAGCTGTATGACTTCGTGATCCATGTAACTTAATAGCTTTCATAATTTATCAAAATCAAAAATAAAATCTGTTGGAGTATGAACAAACTCTCCATTACTTTATTTTATATAATGATTAGGTTATTTGTTTTTTTCTTTATGTGTGAACGATATAGCACATGTTTACGTTAATAATAAATATGCGTCTTAGGCTAAGTTTTATTATTCTTCCTAGAATAAGTATATTGTTTATTTAATAGCATTGAAGCCTAGTCTGGACTTGATGATTATTATGTAGTCTAAGCATTACTAGTTTTTAGTTTACCAGAGCCTTTCGTATTGTGAGGACATACTTTTAAATCTTCATAATAAATAGAAATAAATGATTATTCGATTTGTTTAATTTATTATAAATCTAATTCCTGCTTCAAGAATCTCCAATGTAATCATTCAAGATAATTTTATGTGTCATTTTTATATGTCCATTCCAATTGGGTGTTCAAACACCTAATTAACTTAACTTGAGTTAGAACACCAAGAATGGGTAGGAATGAAAAACCATGGAATGCTAAATAAAGGAATATTTTATTCGAAAAGTATGCTGTTACAGTGAAATATCTTAAGGATATCAAAACTTTCACTATCATATCCCTTTGTAGAGTTCATCGCACACTGCCCTCTGTCCCTTCCATCTCCCATTCTCTCACTCTATAATGTTAACTAAAATTAATACGTACTTATTCAAAATAGAATGTGTTGGGAAATAGGTTACTAAAAATATTTAGAATGTTGATATTTCAATTGATAAAATGTCTTTATTTTAATTAGGACTATAGGAAGGTAATCATCCAAGAGTTTCCTTATGATGTTCTCTTCACGAGAATCTACAAAAGACTAACTCAAAAATTATCCTAAAGTACTTATCCTAACTATATAACTAAAAATATGAAGTGTGGCCCACAGATGTCTACCAGGACTAAAATTTGTTTATTTTCCTAAACAGTTTTTATGGATACTGGGATTTTCTCTGGGATTTTATTATCCTTTACTTAGGTTTGCTTTTTTTCTTTAACTACCAACATCCTTAGACCACTCATCATACTTTCAATAGAATAATTTTTGATGATATTTAACCAATATTTCAACAGAATGAACAAAATCACACGCATTCTATTCATTCTATCTGCTCTCATTCTTACTAACGATAACTTTATTTGAAATAAAATGAACAAGTAGTGTTGGAAAACCTAATTATTTACCAATATTATTAACAAAACTAACTAATTATACAAAAAGAATTTACCTACAATTAAAATAAAATTGTTAAACTTTCTCATTCTTACTAAAAATTCTCTCAATTTCTAACTTTATGACTTTTTCAAAGAAATGCAATAAAACTAAGGTCACTGACTTAACGCCCAAATTTCCCAACTTTCCACGTTGGTACCTTTGCCCTACCATCAACCATAGTACCTAATGCACACCATGCACTAATATAAATATGATCATCATTCCTCACTAGTTAGATCACTTACCCATTCGATTAACATTGTAGTCACATTTTAAACACTTCCAAGTGCATGCAAAGTGACTACAATGTTAATTAAATGGGTAACATCATTTTAAAATACTTCAAGTGCACTAAAATAAAATACTACGATTTGCAGTGTTAGTATAGGTAAATAGATCAGCATTGCTAACAAAAAATTCCGTCATAAGCTAATCATTACACAGATGGAGATATATGATTATTTTACAACATATACAATAACTTCTATAACGGTTTTTTCCACAACTCTTTTGGAACTCTTTCAGCTTTTTTTCTACGTAAAACGATAATCGACATGAGTAAGTGATTCACAGCCCAAAGGAAGTGACAAATAACAAATGGCATGAATAGATAAATCCTCGCTTTTATAAACAATTCAGTGCCAATAGATTGTTATCATCTTGAACATGAAATTTGGCACAATTCTAGGACAACCTTTACCCATATGTCTCCAATCCTCCTTCACTTTAGCTTCTGGCATTAAAGATATCGAGTGCACTACCATCACCGGATGCACCCACCAACGATTGGCGGTGAATAACAAACATCTCCATTTATTTCCAACATGTTCAGCTCTACTTTCTACCAATTTATAGAAAAGGGAGAGCAACTTATATTTGTTTAACATGAATCATACTTTTGATGTCTTCTTTCAGATGGTCAAATGCGTAACAGCCATTCAGTGAAAAAGCGTTTTCATTGACCCCACGTCCATCCTTTGTCCTCTAATTTCATCACATTTTCTGAAAAACCATTAATAAATGTCAGCCTTATCAGATAAATTCTTATCTGTCAGGTCCATAGTATTTTCCTTTCTACTTCATGAGGTTTCCTTACTCTGCTTGCAGTTTAACATTGCATTGATCCACGCTGCATTAAGTTGTCCTTAACAGAGGACAATTTTCGGCCATGTTGATTCATTACTTCTAGAAAATGGTTTTTCGATGCCATAAAAGATACATCAACTGGACAATAAAAATATCGTCACGTGGAAACCTACAATCAAACATACAGAAATGTTTATGAGGTCACATCTGTATATTTTATAGCAAACGAATGAAATCAATTGATACTGATCAAACTTACAATTTAAAAGTGATCTGGGAGACTGATGATAAAATAACTTATACCAAAATTATCAATAGATAATTACTGGTGTAAAATTAAACGAGTTATTAAACTTCTATCCTAGATGTAGATTACAAATGAATGAAGTTAAAAAAATAAAATATGCCAAAAGTTCATTAGGTCAATTATTGAGAGATTGCTAGACAATAAAATTTCAAAAATTTTAAAATAAAAAAATCATAAATAGAAATTTGATTTGACACTGATAATGCAACATCCTTCTTCCATTATCTTCGAAACCTATCGAACAATACAAATAATTTTTAGTACACCCATTAAACTTGCAAAACGTAAATTAAGCTTTAAAAATATTGTTCAAGGTGGTTTTTTATGAGTTTCAGATAGAAATAAACTACAATAGTTTTATTATAGCCACACATTTCAATCTACTTTTAATACATATTTTATCTGTTGTTAACTTAAAAATAATCATTTTTTAACCATCAATAGAAATTTTTTTTCATTAACAAAGTTTTAGATTTATAAACTTCAAGGAAAATCAGTGTAACATTCAAAAAGAAACTTAAAAGTAAAACTAGAGTTGTAAATTGTAATAAAATCAGTTGTGAATTTCTTTATGTATCATTTAGGTTCTAGGAATGATGGAAAGTATAATCAGAACATTGTTTAAAAAACTTCAACTGTCCAATGAAAATCACACAGAAATAAATTGGAGCGTAATTGGTAACTTCACTTATAGAGACATTAAATGTAAATGATAATTTATTTTCTTTTTTGTGCTGCTTCTGCTGATGGATTTGGAAAAATTATATCTTTTATCATTTCGGGACTTTTTTGAAATATCGTGTTCGCTTCTTGAAGTACTTCAGATAATTTCCCCGTCAATTGTGTACCATATTTGGCAGTATTCTCAAGTCCATTGATCCCACCATCTGCAATGTTTTTTGCTGCATTGGTCACCTTTTTGGCCAATCCAAAAAATCCTGCTAGAATAGCCTTTATTGGATCATTGTCTTTGTCAGATCCAACAGATGGTCCTGAGCCCATTTGATTGTTTCCAGAAATTTCATTAGAATCTTCTAAGCCTTCTGAGGTCACAACAATATTCGAAAACTTCAATGACGAAATTGCCAAAATTATAAGAATCACTTTCATTATTGTTGGATCAAAAGTAATACTTTCTTCACAACTGAACTAAAGTGTTGATTGAATTTTTCATTGGGAGGTTCTTTTATAGATAGCTAATTTACACAAATTCTTTTTATGGTCGTCATGAAATAAGTGTCGGAAAATATCAAGTTATGATAAGAATAAATATTCTTTTTTGTAGAAAATAAAATATTTTATTACTCAACAGTTATACCACTTCGTGATCTACGTAACTTTATAGCTTACGTCATTAATTAAAATCAAAAGTAAAATTGCTCGAGGTAATTTCATGTGATATTATTTTTTATCTATTCCTTGCGATAAGTCAGAAGCTGCTACAAGAAAAATGGAAGAGAATAAAAATGTGAACTCAAATAAAACACAAATGATCATCAATAAAGTTTTTTGTAGAAAGATCATCTTAATGTTTGAGATAAAATATTCAGGGGTCCAATAAGACTCGTAGGATATCTTTGTTGATATTAATAAATAATGGAGTGTCACACCCAACTGATTTGCTATGATCTCAACGAAAACAAATCCCAATTTTCTACCAGTAAATTTGACTAATCTGACTAGATCTTTTGGTTGAACATGTCTATATGTGAGATCTATTTCGATAAAGAATTGATGAGTCTAATATAAGTTGAGTAAAATCTTTACTGAAGTGTGAATAAGAATATAAATGAAAAAGCTGAAAGCTTTAGAGCATTCATAACTATATCCAACTACAAGTTTAAACAAAAAAATGTCACTTGAGTCAATGATCAAATTAGGTAACTTTTACAAGCTGTAAAGCAGAAATAAGGGCAACTTTACGAAGTTGAATAAAATTTACTTCAATTCTAGTTTTATCTTCGAAAATTTCAATACATTTATTTCCAAGTGAAGTCACTCAGGTCAGAGGGTGAAGTTATTCATGGAAATTTTCTTCTATCAGTTGTCTTTATCTTAATTGATCTTTACATTGTATTCTATTTTTCACACAACTAATTCTAAGAATTACTTCCAATTTTTTTATTCACATTTTAGTTGAGATGTTTTCTATTATTTCACGATTTGTAAAAGAAGGAAAAAAATTTTTTTAGAATTCCACAAACTTAGCATATAATGGCTTTGTAAATTTTACAGTTAAATATCAGATATTTTTTGTAATGATTTTAATAGTATTTGTTTGCATTCCTGAATCAAAATATAACCCCTTTTTACCCTGAGGCAATCCTTTCTTAAAGTTTAACTTCCAGAGTCAAAATATACGGCCTATTTTTATGCTAAGACTATCCTTTCTCAAGGTTTAATTTAAGATGAACAAATCCTAATTAAAGTCGGAATACGCAACAAATCAGTGTTTCCGTAGAACGAAAATTTTTCAATTTTATTCTAAACTCATACTAATTTTATCCTATCGTCATCCTAATTTTATTTTTCTTTTGTCTTAGCTCCATCATACTTTTCCTGGTTTCAATCTAATTTTATTTGAGATTCGAGTAATTTTATTTTAATAAAAACATTATTATTCATAATTATTTATTTCATTTCAATTCTAATTGGGCTGTACATCAGCATTGACATCATATGTATTATTAAAACAAGTATGACTGTAATGGGAGTTATTATAATATTGACCATGTTCATATTTAAAAGAGCAGTTTCATTTAATTCATTATTAGGTTGTAATAAATAATTTAAAACAATTCAATTTGTAATAAATATAATTTTTGGAAAATTAATCCATTATGTGAATCGTGACCTTATTTCAACTATGTCCATAAATACTTCTGGATATAAGCAAATCAGTTTACTTATCAATTACAAAAATATTATATTTATACCTTTTTTATCAGAGTACATTTTTAAAAACAGTAAAATGTATTAATAACAAATAAGAAATACATCTATTGGTAAGCCAAATAAATTTCTGCTCGATAAGGAAAACTTATCAACAACTCCATTTTAAAATAAACTTTGATGATTATTTAAATATAAATATTATCCTTCGTATACACTTCAAAGCTTTAATAGAAAGTTTATTAACTGCAAACTTGTAAGATTGCAAACTTAAAGAGTTTGAGATACCTGGAGCTTGATATTTCTCAATAACTTGCAGTGTTTGTAAAGCTATCGTTGATATAACCATGAAGTAGAGTGTCTTGTCAGCAAGTTAGAAATCAATATGTAACAGAGAGAATATAATAAAAGCATTGAAGAAAAAGGCTGCAGTATTCCAATTGGAACATGAGAACTTTTTGTTCTCACTCTTGCTTCCTTCAGTACGGTATTCTCTATTCGATTAGTTGGAATATTCATTAAACTCACTGCACTTGAATCGGAGAAATTCCGGAAGATTTACTTTTATTTTCCAGTGAGAGCTCAAGTTACCGTAAACGTTGAAATTACAAAAATGTTGATAAAAAAATGAAATATATAAGAAGGAGATAGTTATGATGATACAGATATGAACAATTTCAATTTATTTATCAACAAGTAGATGTGCTCTCATTCAATAGAAGTTTTATTCAACAATTTTCATTTCATTTACAACACCTGAATTTTTCGACCAGAATTTGAAACTCAATGATGATCCACAAGCCAGCCATAAGAACTGTTTGTAATTTTCAACTTCTGAGTATGAAGTTATTGTAATAGTGTCAATTTTTAGAATTCGTAATTTTATCATATTTGTAGGATGAGATAAAATGGTAAGGTTTAATTAGTTTTTATTTTAGATATGAAGTTACAATGTTAACTTAGGACAACTTAAGACATATTAGTCGCAAGCCCTCCGACTTAAGACTAACTGCCCGGCTCCTTTTCCCGTTCTCATCCCTTCTGCGAAGGCGAGACTTGACCTCCCACTCCTTAGGTCACGTCAGTCCCAAGTCTGGAGATCTTGTGTTGGGACTTTTCCCTTTTTATTAGGGGAAAGTCCCTGGGCTTAACCGTAAAACTTAATGGCTACGGAAAAACTTAAATTCTAGTAAATAAAACTAATGACGGGTTTTTCCCCGATCCTACATATTTTTACGTTTTGAGACATTTGAAAGCATATTAGAAGGTTTAAAAATATATTTATGTACGTATGTCAGATTTTTTTTCGTTTTCGATATCTCGAGAACTATTGGAGATATCGACTCCGAACTAATTTCATTTTGGAGATAATACATTGAAAAAGATCTGAAAGAAGTTTAAACAAATTCGGTCCAGCCATTTTTTTTTATAACAAAAAGAGTGCAAAATAAGTGGAGTAAAGAAGATATTTGAAATAGATTCTACTTATTAGATGATAAAGATTGTTGACAACTGAGGTCAATAAAAAATGGTTGTTAATAACTTCATATGTCTCTAAACAATTATGTATTATTTATAACAAATTCGATTTGTTATAAACAATTAAAAATGGTTTGAATTTATTGAATGATCATTACTGTGATTATATTCGATAAATATCAATAAAATATTGTTATAAATAACTTGATGTGATTAAACAATTGTGTAATGTTTATAGCAATGGTAATTCTTTATAAACAAAAAAAAATAATAGATGACAAAATTACGGATTGTAATTTTTTGTAATTAATGAGAAGTTTATTGTCAGGGCACAGACTAAGCCCAGACTCATTTTTTAAATAATATGTCAACTCGATAATTTGAGTTTTTTCGTAATCTTTTACTTCCAAGTGGAAAATTATAGTAATGGGTCCGATTTTGCGAATCCCAAAATTTGACATATCTTCACGTTTTCCAGTGAACGTCTGTGTGTGTGTATGTTCGTATGTACGTTCGGAATTATTTTATCTTGAGAACAAAAAATGATATCGACGTGGGACCAATTTCATTCGACACATACTGACGCAACTTAGAACTGATTAGGTTTTCTGCAAAATCAGCCGAGCCATTATAGTGTGACTATACTAGATTACGTTGGATACTTCTTTCTCTGTCCTCTTCATATCTTCTTCACAAGCAATGATAGTGGGGGCCTCATTCTCGTTCGTTGTAAAAAGAAGTTAAGGGAAGTGGAAAAGAGCAGAGGTTCAACGGTATTCAATGGCATTGAGCTTCTAGAAGTCATACTTCCCTGATACTCAAGTTGTTGATAAATACTACCTCCATTAGTCTTATTTCTAGGCTCTTCCAGAAGACATAACTTCTAGGGATCCTATGGTTAGCTTCATTAAAAAAATTCAAGCTCTAGGAGTTAGAAACAACCAGATGTACAACCAGAGAAGTGCTATTTTGCATTTCTTATTCAAGTTGCTAACTCAGCTTTTACACGCCCATAAGTACTCAGCTATTCTTTATCTATCTTTGTTCTCTTAGGGTAAGAATGGTCGAAGGTTAACAAATAACTTGCATAAAAAATGTTAAACAATGCTAAAATACCATCAGAATTACATCAAGGGTTATCAGGATATAAATGATTGCAGTATTAAATTTCAAACTTTGATTACGAATAACTTTTTTTTATTGTATTTTCATTTAGGTGAACTATAATCTGTTATTTTTTAACATTTAGTAGTTGTTCTGGGTTTTTTTAACGGTAGCATGAATGGACTGTGTTCAGAAGATCCTCCAATGAGTCACTCTCTGTTATTTACGAATAAAATGAAAATTTTTTTATTGTCAAAATTCAAACAGTTTAATTCAAGCTTCATAAGATAAACTCTTCAAAAAATACCTTGTTTTAAATCATTACATTTCTGATAAAAGTCTTTCTAAATTACAAACATTCTTAATATAGTTTATAGTTTCTGTTTAATAATTTTTTATTTGAAAAGTTTATCAAAATACGTATGTTCAATTCGATTATTTAATTTCTTTTAGCCTACAAAGCATCTCGAGCGGACAAATATAGATATATAAAAGTACATGGACCTTTGCGCACTAGTTTCAGGCAAATAAATGCATGAATTAAAAAAAGACATACAAGAAAAGATTTGCGCAACAACGATCTATAGAATGAAACGAGATGAGGACGATTGGTTGAAGAATAAGATAACTATCCGAAATTAAAAGTCTAACATGATTTGACAAATTTTGGTCGGCCATACATAAACAAGTAAGAGTTAAAAATATGAAAAGTAGGAAACAATCTGTCAAATCGCTTTAAACATTTAATTTCGAATATTTATCTTATTCTTTAACCAATCGTCCTTATCTTGTTTCATTCCATAGATTGTTATTGCGCAAATCTTTTCTTGTAGGTATTTTCTTAATTCATGCATTTATTTGCCTAAAACTAGTGCGCAAAGGTCCATATACTTCTATATATCTATATTTGTCCGCTCGAGGCGCCATAAAAACATGATTTTTTTTATTCAGAGGAAATAATTTATATGATTCAGAATAAGAGGGACGTTGAAGGGAAAATAATAAAAAAAATCGAAGTACATATTTTCATATATTTTTATTGAAAAAACCTTTGACAAAAACGATTTTTCTTTTTTGAGAAAAAATTATATAATTCAAACACATAAGTAAAAACTATAAACGTAATCAGAAAAAATAAATATTTATCGATATAATATATTTTACGTACGAAGAAAAGTCCGATCAATTTAATTTTAATCACAAACAGAATTTTTCAACATACAGTAGTTAGCACCAACGACGCTCCTGTATTCGAAAATAACAATTTTATTCGCGTGCTTCATTAACACCCTTTTTTTTTTGTACACTTGAAAATAATATAACAAGACATCATTCACTATACCGCCAAGTCTGGAGATTAGTAATTATGAATGTGTAACAGAGGCATAAAGTTAATGTTCCATTTTTGATACGCTATGCATTTAAGGGTTAAAACTTTTAAATAATTTATTGATATTACTAATAAAGGATGTGTCTCTATAGACATAGTCAAATCCTAAAGTGCATCTACAAAATTCTTCATTAGGTTTTTCTTAAAAATTATGCGTACTTAAAATTCTTTTTTTAAGTTTTAACTAATAATTAATTGGTAATAATTGAAATTGTACTGATTAATAATTATTTATTATAAATAGAAGTTTCCATATGACTATTGTCAGCATCGCATTCAACATGTCGGATCAGCCATTATTCCATTTTGCCAAAGTTTTTATTTAATTTTAGAAAAATAAATCCAGTAACACCTATTTTTTTGCATAAATAAATAGAAAAACGTTTAAAGTTTATCGAAGTATATTTTTTTCCATAAAAATGGATGAAACATAGCAAATTTTGGAATTTTTTTCCAATTTCGCATACTTCCGATAAAAATAACATATAGTTTAATGAGACCATTCAATTTAATTATTTTATAAAATATATCCAGAACTTTAAAAATGTAATTCATAAAAGTGTTATACATCCTTAAATAAAATTCACCCAATTTCTTGAATAAATAAATCCCAACTTTCTGTCCCAAAAGAACTAATTCATAATTACCCTCGACTAAATATTTGACATTAGTAATAATTAATGTATCTTTCTGACATTTTTTAAGACAATATTTGAAATTAAAATTTTTTTTTCATTAAATAAATCTTATTCACACTTGGGGATTTCTAGAGAAGCTTTGGTTGCCAGATAAATGTTGAAAAAAATAGGGCAGTAGTCTTATTTTTTCATAAAATCTTTCATTAATCTAACAAAGGCAGTCGTCTTACCTCAAATCTCATAGCACTGTACTCGGAGAATTCCATGAATCCCAGACTTTCAGGTAAATGAAAATCGCGGGAGGAATGTACCATGCAAAAACGAAGGAGTTAAGACAACGAGGAAAATGGTGAAAAGAGTGCTTGAGGTGAAGGAAAAGAGTGGAAAGTAAAAAAAAAAGAAATATAAGAAAAAAGGGGAAAAAAAATTACAAAGTTTGCTGGCGAAGTAAAGCGAACTTTTCAGAAGAGATCCGTGGTGGAAAATACGTCTAGTGCGCTTCTCTGGCATTCTGGATAAAGGGCGTGGCAGTTTTCACCCACGTGCCTACCTAGCTTTTCTGCAGCATGGTATTCCTGGTCTTCATGCTCGTCGTATGGTTCATTCGTGCTCGAGGGCCTGCAAATTTCACATGCATACCATCAGACTTTGTATATTATGCCATAGGCTACTAAATAGTTTGTCCACAGACTAAGACAGAAGCATCACAGGAATGATAAATATTCAGAAGGAATATTATGTATCAGATAGTTTAAGATAAACAAGACAGCTATTATTGGACCCTATCATTTTACTGAATTTTTTTAAAGTACTTCAAGTAATATAAAACAAACTGCTTTGAAAAAAGTGCAGTATATTGTAAAATAATGATACGATAAAAGATTCAAAAGAGAAGTTTGCAAAAATGGCAGGAACAATTTGATGATAAAGATAGACATCTGATGGGCACTAGTCTCAGTCGTAAACTAATATAAAATAAACAAGTTAAGCGTTGCTAACAACAAATTCTATCCTTTGTCAATCATCATATAGAAGGAGATATAATTGTTGCTTGTTGCTATGTTTTATTTATAACGTTCAAAATTGTAAACGCTTTAAGTGTTTAGTTTCTAAATGCTTTTATTTGCAGAGTAGAACAGTACTTTTTACTAAATCATTCAGCTATTTTTGCTAAAAGAAAACTAATAATTTTTAATTGTTTCCCGAGTCAAAATATACGGCCTATTTTCATCCTATTTTTATCCTGAGACAATCCTTTCTTAAAGTTTAACTTAAGATGAACAAATCCTAATTAAAGTCGGAATACGCAACAAATCAGTGTTTCCGTAGAACGAAAATTTTTCAATTTTATTCTAAACTCATACTAATTTTATTTTTCTTTTCTCTTAGCTCCATCCTACTTTTATTTCATACTTTTCCTGGTTTCCATCTAATTTTATTTGAGATTCGAATAATTTTATTTTAATAAAAACATTATTATTCATAGTTATTTATTTCATTTCAATTCTAATTGGGCTGTCCATCAGCATTGACATCATATGTATTATTAAAACAAGTATGACTGTAATGGGAGTTATTATAATATTGACCATGTTCATATTTGAAAGAGCAGTTTCATTTAATTCATTATTAGGTTGTAATAAATAATTTAAAACAATTCAATTTGTAATAAATATAATTTTTGGAAAATTAATCCATTATGTGAATCGTGACCTTATTTCAACTATGTCCATAAATACTTCTGGATATAAGCAAATCAATTTATGAGGTTGAAATCAGGCTATTCTATCTATATCTTAATTTTTACCAACTTCAGAAGGATAAAAACAATATTAGGAATAGAAGGTTTAAAGTAGGCTTTATCATCCTAATTTTTATCTACTCAAAAAAGAAAAAAGAATAAATTTAGGATGAAAAGGTTGAATCTAAGATAGAAAGGATAGGAATCGTATGAGAAGAGTAAATTTAGGTGTTATATTTTGACTTGGGTTTTACCAGAAAATTTTACTGCAAATTGACTGGTAAAAATTACGATAAAATTTTATATCTTACTTTAATTGAATTAATTAAAATATTTCATTGTCATTATTCAAAATATAATAAAGCGTTTAATAATCACTTGTGAAATATTTTATTAATTTTAATTATAATATTGGAATTATTGGAGACATTAAATCTTAGTACTTGGTAACTTTTAATTATTATAATGACATGAAATTAACATCTTTGATCAACTATCGAGTGAACAAGCAGAGAAGCCAAGGAGTGAGAAACTGATGCTAAACATGAAAATATAGCCAATGATCAAATTATATAATTTACGGAAGTTACATGCTGTCAAGGAGATATAGAGAATTCTCTGGAGATTGCCAGTGAGGCATGGGTGTTATAACGCGACCGTACGCTAGTTCTACGTGCTTGGCGTTGGTTCGACATCGATCCAATGTGGTGGTTTACGCTGGAAACTTTAATTCTAAAGAGCAAGAGAGAAAGATCCTTGTTCAACGCAAATACTTTGTTACTTTCATCAATTCACAGAAACTTTTAAATGAGAAAGTAATTTTATTATTGATCCCGGATATTGGATAGTTTTAGGTCTTTGTCACTGTTGAAAAAATGTAAATGACAATCTTGTTTGCACGAAAACACTTTTTATCATACATTTTTTCGTTAAAAAAAATCCATTGATGCTAAAAAGACCAAATATTGAACAAAAGTAATCAGAAGTGCTTTTGTCAAGAAAAATATTGATAATTTATTCAATTAATTCCAGGAACGAAATTTGGAAAAATTTTGGACCACATCAAATTTATTTCTCCAAAATCCGTGAATATTAATTAATGAAGTTCAGTGAGATTAGAATTGAAATAGAGAAATCGATGAATATGGATAAAAATTTGAGGGATTGTACTTAGAGTCACTGGGAGTGCAATTCTTCCTATGAAGAAAAGTGCTACAACCCTGGGCAAGGGTATAAACAACCCCTAAAAAGTTTGTTTTTCAGTTGTCTCCAAAAATATGCGAAATATGGAAAAATTTTTTAAACAAAAATTGGAGATTTTTTTATTTTACAAAAAAATGGATGTTAATTTCTTACTCCTGTTTTTAATAGTTTGAGAAGAAATCATTCCCAAAAGTAAAAAATAGAAAGGCTACTTTTTTCACCTAATTTCAATATTTTTAAACATTTCGGAAAACAAGTAAGGGAGTACGAGGCAAGACGGATCCATGGGGCAAGATGACTTTTTTAATTTTAAAATGATTTATATTCATCATAATGTATCCTTTCGCTCACTAGAACTTTTTTGATTACATCAGAAAGAGAATAAAAAATAATCATATCTATTTACATTTCCGAAATTTTCTAAACCTGGAGAATTAAAAATATCGCAGAGTATGAAAATAGCTCATAAATTTATGTTTTTTTTTTTTAATTTCATTAATTTTTTTTTCATTGTCTATCGACTCCAACTAAGATACTTATAAGAAATCATGACAATAAATAGAAAAAATTTCAGTTTTCCCTTATTTCTTTTTACTTTTTCTCAATTTTACTCAATAACTTTTCCACTAGAATATTTTTACTCTACTGTATTTGAATATTTATGATTATTCAATCATTGATTTTATTATTTTTTATTTCATTAAATATTGTACTTTTACATTAACTCAGCTATCTTCAAAACATTCTAAAAAATAATAGTTGAGTCCCATAATTACAATCCTGTGTTAATTACCCATTTGACAGAAAATAGTTGAATCCTTTTCGAACTGTCAATAGTAAATCCAACTGTAAATTTTTATGTATTGCAAAAGTGCTGTTTAATAGTTATTACTGATCAGCATTGATGCTATATGCTCATGTTAATAAGTCACAACTCTGCGTTTTGGTTATAAAATTTATTGGCCTGCTTCCTGGTTGAAAGCTGATACAATAATGACACTTATACAATCTTTTTTCTTATTCACTAAAACTCTTTCTTAATATTATTCCTAATTATTATTTATAATTAGCTAAGTGGCTCTCACTATTATGCCTAAAGGGCATTACTAATTTCTAAGATGAGCTAAAAGAGGGTGTTTTTAAACCCTCATGTTGTTTATTGTTTCAACAGATTTTTAGAATAGAAATTCCCGTTTTGAAAAATACGGATGCCATGTTGTTACTATTCCTCATTACCCTACACTCCTCCATAATGTCTATACTTTACTACTCCAATTCTATTGCAAATAATAAGAGATAAATATACCAGTGTAGATGATGAAAACAATAAAGAGAAAAAAGGTGTAAAATACTGAAACAATAATTTCGTTGGATGCATTAAGTAAAAAAAAAGACTTACGTGAGTAAAGTTTGAACAAGTTGACCTAGAAGTCCATGATGGTGATCAAAAGGGGTGAATGTGACCTCACAAATAGCTCTAAGTAAACAGGCCTTCCCACCAAATCCATAGAGACTACCTATTCTTTCCAATACTTTGTAAATACTCCATCGACTTTTTTGTGTTCTCTCAAAAAATACGCCAGGTTCAGTCAAGTCTGTGGAATTTGCAGGAAGGGTGTAAAGCAGTTTGGTAAATGCTCCCACGATCACGCTCTCACGATCCAGCTGCAGGGGCGTGCCTAGACCAAAAATTAGCTGCAGAGAAACAAAATGAAATAAAATTCGTATGGTGAGAATGAATTGACTGTGATAGAAAAAAAATACATGATTCAAAAAAAAAAGTAGAAAATAAAATTATTAATAACTACTGCTGGCAAGAGTTCTTTTGGTGTATATTAAATTATATATCAACGAAATTTGTAGTCAACTGGTGTACCATTCTAGAGATATGATGGATGATGGTCGATAATGGGGAATAACTTCGAGGGTACTTAGTTAACTGGTTTATGGGAGTTTAACAACTTATACTTTTATAACTAAATAAAAATAAAATGATGATGATGATGATGATGAGAGTTGGATAATTGTAAAGAACTTTACTGTACTGGACTATTCAAATATACTAGTATTATAAAGCTTTCATTCTCTTGCTTTTTATATCACGAGTTTAATTCGTTAGTCACCTATGATGTAAAAGCATTGATGAGTGTAGAAACAATTTTTCAATATGTCATCAACTTTAAAAGCTTTAGGAGATTAAAAAAAATATATTCAACTCGATTTAAAAGCATTTTTTATAACCAAATATTTGCTCTAACAATTTACACATTTTTTTTAGAAACATTTTATTCTGAAAATTTTAACTATTGGGAGAGAAAATGTTACAAGAACTTGGTGGAAAAAACATAAATCTGGTAAAAGATCTTTTTTTCTTGTTCCAATGAAATTTTTTTCGCTTGAAAAATTATAATAGTAAAGATTTGTTAATTTGTTGTTACTAATATTCGACCAAAGCATTTATATTGCCTTATGATGTCATACATGTACCTTGATGTTAAGTTGCTGTCTAAGTCTTTAGGATTCTAAGCATATTGAAATAAACCGAAAAGTATTTTCCAGTCAAAAAGTGAAGATTTTTTGTTGAGGTTGTTATCTCCTGAGAGCTCGTATCAAAATTCATTGTGTCCCAGCCAAATAAAATGAATTGCACTGTAAATTTTGGTGTTTTATTTTAAAACATTAAAAGTGTTTTAATATGACGTCACTCATTTGATTAACATTGTCTCGATTTTAGAAACGTTTTAAAATAAAACACTAAAATTTACAGTGTGTATATGAAAAAATATCCAAACTTCTGTGGAATTATATTCAGAAATTATTTATAATACGATATAAGTAATATTCAATAATATCTAGAAAGTATTATTAATAATTTTTTTCTACAATTTGGAATAATTGTTTGGATGGACCTGTACCAATGCATCGACATTACTTATATGTATGTACCACCACATTACTATTCTTCCATTTGTTGTCGGAAAATTGATTTTAATTATTTTTTGTTCAATAACTGAACGTCAAAATTGTGTAAAATTTCACTGAAGCATTAATTACATATTCATTGATTTTATGATTTTTTTTTAAACGTAATCGTAAATTCCGTTTTGGAATATTTATTGAAAAACTATCACGAGTTACCTTCTACCATTATACTGCATGGTAAAATCGTAATCTTTCATTGCAAATATCTTCATTTCTAGACGTCAGATCTTTTTTGTTCAGATGAAAAAAATGTTTATTTTTTGTTATTCTATAAAAATAATGCTGTTTAAATAAAATTTCAAGTAATCGCTCTCGCAGAATAACCACTTTAAGACATTTATACTCTGCTTAATCGATAAAAGAAGCGATTACTCTACTAAACAATACTATATATTTCTTAGAACAAATACTTGGTAATCATTAACTTTCACAGTCACGTGGTTTAGGTAACCATAAAAAATAAAAAAATCGCCCATTTTTTAATTTTTTTTTTTTTAATCATTTGTTTTGACTGTGGATTTATAAAAAAAATAGTAAAAGTGTCTAAATTCATGATTTACAAAAGTTTTACAGCTTCAAATAGTAAAAAAAACGTCTTTTTTTTTAACAATCCTTTATAAATGATCATAAAAGTAATGTTTTATTATTGCAAGGACTCATGCACAACAACTTAATTTAAATTGAACGATTTATTCTTCAACAGAAATAAGTAAACTATTAGTCAGTTTGAATATTATTTCAAAATTGAAACACTTTCAATTAAAACCCAGTAGAAATTTGAGTATAATGAAGTATTTTGATCCAGTGTGTATACATTAATCTCTAAATTGTTAAACAATTTCTATTCAGTTTGCCTACTTGCTATTCAATCAAGTCAACTAATTAGCAAGGAGAATTGTCCGAGTGTTTGAAAATGAAATTAAACCCCTAACACGATAGTACGTGCTAGTGTTTTTAAGCTTGCACTTAACCATGCTCTTTTCATTGTCCTCCCTTTCTACTTTTTGGTCATTTTCTCTTTCTCGAGTATATTAATGGCCTACACTTTGTGAAAATGCAGTCACTGTACGCTCGAAGCATCTGAGTCATTAGTAAAAAAATTAGTACGACGAAGACAAAGGAATAAAGAAGATGATCGCAAAGAGACTATAGAGATACGCTTGATACACGTTCAGTGAGTTTGAAAACACCCATTACCAGTTTCCCTAGAGTCGATCGAGGTTTGCTATTTGCTGTAAAAAAAAAAAGTGTAAGGTAAAAAGAGGATTGTTAATCCTCTTGAAGCCTCCCATGCGAATTACTTGGCCTCCATCCCATGAGATAACGATTTTCCCTAGAATATATATTTGTAACTAATCAACTTCAACGCTTATCCGATAGTTATGCTATCAATCTTAGATATTAATTAGCCAGGTTCAAGCTCTATAATTAATGTAGGGTTATACGTATGCATTAATATATTAGATGCTGTGGAAGGACCACTCATGCCGAGACATTACTAAGACAAAAACATTTGCTATTTTAGTAAATGATCTGCTTTAGTTTGATAACCAAAATAAACGTACTTTATTATGTTTTTGGTAAAGCACGAAATCTTGCTTATTTTAAAAATATCAAAGTCGATGAATGAATGATAACTGCACCAAGTTTTTTATATTTAAAAATGAAAAATCACATTTAACTGCAAATCTTAGTTGTCAAACACGTGTTGTTTTTACACATCTAAGTGTGTTAAAAATGACGTCATCCATTTGATTAACATTGTAGTCATTTCTTACGCGTTTCTAAGTGTGTTAGAACAACACGTGTTTGTATAAAATCAGAAAATCAATAAATATGTAATTATTGGTCAATTATTTTTGTTTTTAAATTTTTCTTCAATTTTTCGATCATTTATGTGTAGTTTTTGAAATTTCTTTGCTTCTTTCACAACGGTTAAAATATACAGGTGTTATAATTAATACGTTCTAAAAAAATCAACAATAACTTTATAAAAAGAAAAAAAAAATAATTATTAACTGTAAATATAATTGATTTTAGTGAAAAAATACTTGGCTTATCATGATTTCAGAATTGTCGTAGTTTTTTTTAATAAAGTGATATAAAAATAGTATTTTATGAAAGGAGATTATCGTCTTCGTCGTTTATATTTAGTGCATAAATTTTTACAGTCCGCAGGGCGGTTTTTGGTGGGATATTTAGTTTGCTACTGAAACTAGAACTGATAAGACATCATTTTCTTTTATTGATTTGTCATTTCTAGTAAGCTTTATAATTATGAACTTTCCAGTGGGAAGTTATTGTAATGGATCCGATTTTATGAATCTTAAGTTTTGACACGTTTTCACATTTCAGATTATGATATCGACAAGGAACCAATTGCATTCGACAGATAATCGTGCAACTTAAAACTGATTAGGTTTTTAGCAAAATCAATCCAACCATTTTCCGTGCGAAATCGAAAAACTAAAAAAAAAAGCAAATTAGGTGAATTTTGCAATTTATAAATAATACTATTGATCTATACAGAATCCTAACATCTTTTGAATAATACTATTATTGCATATCAGCATTATTTACATAAAAAAAAGTGATAATGATATTTTATAAAAAAAGATAGCTTGCAAAACAAAAACAATAATAATTTATAGTTTAAAACTGGTGTCAGCACACTGCAAATCGTAGTGTTTTAATTTAAAGCACTAAAAGTGTTTTTAAATGACGTCACCTATTTGATTAACATTGTAGTCACTTTTTAAATGCTTGGAAGTGTCTAAAAAGTGACTACAATGTTAATCAAATAGGTGACGTCATTTTAAAACACTTTCAAAATTTTGAACTTGCAGTGCATTCTCTAGTAAAAAAATAAATACTGATTCTTGTAAGAATTTTATAAGAGACAAATCTGAAAGTTGCTATATTTGAATCTCATATAAAAATTATAAGAATTATATATAAACAGTAAAAAATCATATAAGAAAATTTTTTTATCTGAATTTTATATGAATAATATAGAATTAATATAAAATTTATTTTATCAAAATCATACATGAATCATATAAAATTCAGATACTAAAAATTTTCATGTATGATTTTCATACTGTTCATATATAATTCCTATACTCTCTAATACTGAATCAGTGAATATTCACTGATATCCAGTGCCAATCCAATCACTGAAAGAATCATTCATTGGATTGACACTAGCAATCAGTAAATATTCACTGATTTGCAGTAGTTTTCACTGATTCAGTTTAAGAGAGTAAGATTCAGTATTTATTCTTCTTCTAGGGTTAAGAGAATAGCATTTGTGACGTCACAATAGTAGAAAATCATTGTTAATGCTAATTAAAGATTGTTAGTAGTAAATGATTGATTATTCTATTATTCTTAATTACTCGATATTGTTAATTACAGTGAAATGACAATAATAATGATAATAATGGTATAAATGATGAATTAAATATATGGAGGAGAAGATAAAATTATGGATCACTATTTGTTTTTACTTAATTGCATTTTATTCTGTTAATTATCATCAATTGTCATTTTTCGAAGTTTTTGTTTATTGCCAAGAAGTTATTTTTCAATTAATTTGAAACCATATTAAAAACTGGACCATAATCCTACCTTCTCTTCTATTAATTTTATTCTTTTCCCTGCAAAGTTAGTCGGGTGAATTAATCATTAGGCCGCTCCAAATGACATTCATTTTGATTTTCTTATGTTTCATTTTACATCTGGTAAATAATCTTAATTAAGTAAATTTTTCTTCAAACAGTACGTCTACTTTAAATATTGAATTAAATGATAATCTCATGAGATTTAAGTTGGATTTAAACAAAAACGTTGTTTTTAATTCTAACATAACTCTAGGATTAATTGGAGTGAACGAGATTTGAAACTAGAAATGAGCATAGGAATGAATAACACAAAACAGTACAGTTGATGAAGATTGTTTGCTAAACTCAAAACAAAGAACTAAAGTTGAAATAGTTTACCCACAGTCGATCATAAGTTCTAAAGTAGGGCACATGAAGCATTTGATTGAGATTGATAATCAATCCTGTTAAAACATTCAAGATACTTTATACAATGTTTCAATAAATCTATCACAATATAATCCAAATTTTTTACAGTAAGTGGTTTATAATCGATTGATGATAATGGAATGCATCATAAGTCCATTATAAGATCAATATTTATCACTAGCTCATGTAATGTTATGAATTTTCTATTGAATTTTAAGGCATAATGGATACCAAGCATCAACAACGTGTAAGATCCTAAATACTCTTAAGAATACTTACAAGTAGTTGCGAAGCTCCATGATAAACTAAAGTTCTCCTTGCTCGTGACAAAAGTTTCGTCCTTTCCGAGTCACTTCCGACATTGTCACCATCATATCCCAAAGTTTTATGAAGACTGTAGCTAAGAAATACTAACAAAATTGTCCTAAATACTTTCATACCTTTTCCTGATTTTTATTTATCACTTTTCTTCACTTTTTATTGTTATTGTTTATAACAACTCAAGTAAGACGACATTTCTTCATCTGAAAAAATTATTAAAGTCTATAAAAACATCTTTTTATGTAAATAAGCTGATTTGTGGATGTTAAATTTATTGCTGAAATTATTTATCAACCAAAAGTCTACTTACCGTTAAGTACAGAAAAAAAATAGTAGAATCCTGATGAGGCTGTGGAGCAGTAAAGCGAAAGAATTATAAACCCCGCAGAGTGATGCTTGTAAATCAAGGCCTTGCTCGTCGTCAGGGCAAATTGAATTATTTCAGTCCGTTAGTTCCTTCACGTCTCTTCTTCATGAACAAACGATGAGAAGTAGCGCGTCAACGAGGTAGGAATACATGTTCTCCTTTCCTGGGAACTCGATTAACGACGAAACGAACTGAATACTTTGTCAAACTATTCTTATATCAATATTAGTAATAGTAATTATTATTATTATCTTTATTAAAAGAATGACAATTATCATTTCATGATGTAAAATTAAAATCTGGTCTCTTTATAGACCAGACTCTTAAAGATTTATATACAGAGAAAAGTGCAGTATATGAATGAACATCGATGCAAGAAACTGTAAATATATTTAAGTATTCTTACAATTCAATAATTGTACCACGATTATCCAAAAATTATTTATAAATTCACTAAGATGATTTATTCCTAAATGGATTTACAAAAATTGGATGAAAAATTTTTAAAAATGTCATTGCATCATTACATGATATCATTCCTGTCTATCGGAGCTAAAAAAATATTTGAATATATTTTTAAAAATAATTTTTATTCAATCCGATATGATAAGTAGTATACTCTTATGATTCATTATTTGTCGTGACGATTAACATCACATATGAATGAAAATTGAATTACCTAAGATGTTCACAGCTTTTGATCATACAAGAAAGTATATAATTTTTACATAATTTTCGTCATATTTAAAACATATTATTGTTGAGACATTTTGAGCTCATATTTAAATCCTATTTAAGATATGCAATGATGCACTAATCTAAATTGTATTTTGATCATATTTTAGTCATGCATTTTAATCATATCGTGATCTTTAAGTGTCATAGGATTCAATTATTGTGAAGAATAATATTTAAAGTGATTAATTAAAAAATTGAATTTATACAGAAAAAATTGATTTTTAATAATAATTAAACTTTATAAAATTGTTATACAAAGAAAATTAAATGGTAATTTTTATCATAATTTTAGTTAGTGAGCTAATTTAGCCCAAAATTATTTAACCACACCGAAAAAAATAATGTTTAATTGAAGTAAGATTTACTAATAGTTGATATAGAATCTTAACTATAAACATAATATGTTAATTATTAATAAATCTTTTTTTCAATGCATATGATATAAACATATGTATTATAGTTATTATATAATAACTATAATAAATATAAAGAATAGGTCTGGGCTTAGATTTGCATTGACGACGAATTTCCCATTAATTAAAATCCGTAATTTTGTCATCTTTTAGTTTTTTTGTTTATAAAAAATGACTATTGTTATAAACAATATACAATTGTTTAATCACATCAAGTTATTTATAACGATATTTTATTGATATTTATCGAATATAATCACAGTAATGATAATTCAATAAATTCAAACCATTTTTAATTGTTTATAACAAATCGAATTTACTATTAAGTAGAATCTATTTCAAATATCTTCTTTACTCAACTTATTTTACACTCTTTTTGTTATAAAAAAAAAAACGGCTGGATCGACTTTGTTCAAACTTTATTCAGATTTTCTTCATTGTATTATCTTTAAAATGAAATTAGTCCGGAGTCAATATCTTTATTGATTCTCGAGATATCGAAAACGAAAAAAACCTGAGATACGTACGTAAAATTATACGTACGGACAATTGTACATACGTACAGAAATTTATTTCTAAACCTTCTAATATGCTTTCAAATATCTCAAAACGTAAAGATATGATAAAATTACGAATTTTAAAAATCGACCGCATGACAATAACTTCCCAATGGCAAGTTAATAATTAATCACAGGTTCTTTTATAGATCATAAATACGATTATCAACCAATTTTAGTATTCATTACAAATGCATTAATATATGTTATAACTCAAAACGATGTATTGTATATTGCAATAATCCGTAACAAATTTTAGTTTATGTCTAATTACATAATATTGATAATATCATCAATTCAATATAATTACAATTAGTGTAACGTCATGTATAATACAAAAGATTTTGTGTGATTGAAATATTATAAACACCTGAATCTTTGTGAATTTCATAGCTTTGATAATGTTGGTCGACATTAAAATCATCAACCATGATAGAAATTAATCTTGTGTTAAAGTAGCCTCAGGCTAGTTTTCATACTCTGTATTCTGACGGTACCAACAAAACTAGATGAACCAGAGATAGTTTTGTTATGAATATTCTAGTTAATTATGAAGTTGATTGATTAATATTTTGTTGATGATTCATGATTAATTATAAAAAACCCAAAAAGTTTTGCTAACCATCCATCATTTTATTGAATCACGGAAAAATAATTTGTTGTGACTAAATCATCAAAATCTTGAAATAGTGAATATGAATAAATTATTTCAACACATTTTGGAAATCATCAGTAGGTATTAAGCTGTTGTATGATCGATTTAATTTCAATAAAAAATTTAATTACAAATAACCTTTATTATGAGCATAATAAAAATCATTATAGCTACCGTAACACACATACATGTGTCCAATCAAAATTCTGTACTGAGAGGAAATTATTATTAAAATTACGACGTGCTATCCTCAGTAATTCAGACCTGAGTGACAAGTTGCCACAAAATTTACAACACAAAAATACAAAAAAAAAAATGTTTTACATAATAATTGTTATTTATTCAAGAATTTTTTGTGAACAGATTTTTATTTATGACAACAACAATTTATTACTGTTAGATTTAAGTCTTCCCACCAAATACGTCGCGTCACACTAGTCAATGTACTAATTATATTATAACTACTTTTTCGGTTTCACGTAGTATATCCTATTGAGAATTACTAGTTAACTTCCCATTAGGAAATTATTGAAATTTGGTGAAATTTAAATTTGCATCATATCTCCACGTTTCATGGTATTCACAAGCATACTGACCAATTTTTAAAATGATGCGTGTGTGTACGTATGTACGTGCGTACGTATGTATGGACGTCAGCATTTTTTTCGTTTTCGATATCTCAAGAACGGATAAAGATATCGACTTCAATCAAAATTAATTCGAAAGATATTATCATAAAGAAGATCTAACTAAGTTTTTTCTATAACAAAATAATTAATTAAAAAAATGAAAAGATTAGCTATTTAAAATACTTTTAAGTCAAAAAATAACAATTTCATTTGAAAATTGAGTCGATAATGACTAGACATTATTGTTCACAACCAAATATGACTTTCAACAATTGCACATTGTTTATAACAATACGAATTTGTTGTAAACAATTAGAAAAAGTATTTATTGATTGAGTAATGTGTATATCACATGGATTTGGATGTTTTTAACAATCATTGATTATGACTACTTAAATTTGTTATAAACAATTACTAATGGAAAGTTCGTTGTGTTAGCACAGGCAAAGTGTGCTCAGACCTATTTTTTCCGTTTTTATCCCGAGTAAAAATGATCAGTTTTTGGGCGCGCCTAAAGAAGACCCAATTCAAGTCCACAATTCTTTTCCAGGCCTAAAACACGCCTAATTGAAGCCTAAAAATATTCTCGAGGTCTAAAATACGCCCAAATCAGGCCTAAAACACGCCCAGTTAAAGCCCAAAAATATTTTAAAAATCTAGAAAAGAAAAAAAAAATTCTCAGAAAAACTTATCATCAAATTAACTTTCGGTGCTACAAATTTACATTTGTAATAATTTATTGTCATCATTGTCGAATATGATCTTAGAAAATGGGCTTGAATTGGGCGCGTTTTAGGCCTAGAAAATGTTTTTGGGCTCCTCCAAAATTTAGGCCTGTAATGGGCTTGTTTTGGGCACTGAAAATTTCTCTAAGTCAAGATTGGGCTTCTTTTGGGCCTATTTGTTTTTACTCGGGATGTTACATTGTATACAATTATCATGCACATCATATACCAGAGGTGGGCAAACGTGACTCTTCAGAGCCCATGTGGTTCTCCAGGTATAATTTTCAAAGCTACAGTCAAACTCCTATAATTTTTATGCCTCGGGCCAATTTTTCTAAGAATAAAAATTACGGGGCTAAAAATTATAGGAGTTCGACTGTAGTACTTTTGCGAGTAAGAGTGAGAGAGGTATAAAATTTTACTAGGTAGACCTTTTGACTGGTCCTCTGCAAAAGCAGAGAAGAGAGACGTGAATAAGAGTTTATTTTAAATGGGCTGATGTGTTCCAAAAATTTAGTATGGGTTCTTATGGAGCCAGGTAAAAGTTTAACACGGTTAAACAGAACACAGCATTGAACCTCTATGCAGGTCTATTTTCTCTGGCAAAAGTTAAAGTTTTTCCACCCTTGTCATATACTGTTTTCTTTATCTTTTCTATAATCTTTCAATATATCCACCCATGTTTATTTCAATCTGTCTCTAAATTATTTCTACTGCCACCTGCTTAATTATCCTTAACAATTACTGTAACAATTAAATACAAAAAATTGATGAAGCTTCTATTTTAACATTGTGGTAATTATTGTTATATTTTAGAGACAGAAAAGATATATTCATTGATTTTGAACATTACAAAAACTTCTGACTTTTTTTCGGAGCTCACCTCTGAGGAAACCTTGCATCCCTCCTCTTGCGACACATCTTTACGGCCCCACCCCAACGTCTACATCTTAGATGTCTGGGAAATTCCCGTGTTCATATGGTCCCAATTACCGGGAAAATCCCTTTGTCAACCAAACCAAGCAACTGCAGCCTTCCACTCGTATACAACCTTCTGCTACCTAGCTACCTGTTAGCCAAGCTGTAAAACAATTTAGTGAGTAAAAAGACGACAAAAATTAAATAAAGAATTGACTATCATAAAGAGAAAACTTTATCTTTCTTTGAGAAAAATAAATGCACCAGTGTGATTTGTAAAGCACTAAGAACCTTTCCTATTTCTTTAATTCTCCATCTAAAATACATTCTGCGTGGTCTCCGCACCCATGATGAGTAGAGGACGATTGGGTCTTGACTCGAAAAAGAGATTATTCTGTTACTGAGACGTAACAACGAATTTACCCCACAAGAACTTCTAAAATCCAGAA